AGAACTGAGTTTCTGGGAGTTTCTCCCATGATAATGCTAAGGGACAGAAAAAGCAGCTTCAAGAGTATGCATGAAGGTGATAGCTGGAGAAAAATAAAATCATTTCATGTTTGCTTCCTCAGACCATTTGCCAAACCAGTTACAAAATAGGTCACGCCTTCTATTCCACTTGTTAAATATACTCTCTGCCCTTTTCTATATTGTAAAATTTCAGCATCTCAGGTCTGCCGTTTGGTCAGTACTAATAGAAAAGGGCAAATGTTGCACGTTGCAAATGCAGGCTTTCCTAACTCCTGGTAAGAGAAACCTCAGAAAGGGGCTTCCAGTTAAGATGGTGGCATAGGTAAATGTGGTACTCGCATCTTGCAGTACCACAACCATATCACAATTACAACTAAACTACAGTACAACCATCATTCAGAACTGCCTGAAAGGAGAAACCACATCAGACTGAGAGGAAGGACTGAGAGGAAGGGTGGAAATGCAGAATGGGCTTATCCCATACCCCTGTGTGGTGAATAAAAATGGGGGGGATATCTCTGCTGCAGAGGTCCTTGGAGGTGGGAGTCCAAGCCCCACACCAGGCTCCCCAGGGTTTCAGTGCCAGGAGAAGAAGTCCCCACAACTTCGGGCTGTAAAAACCAGCAGGGATTGTGGCTGAGTGAGACAGTGGGCTTCAGGAGTCCCAGGTGTTCCTCTTCAAGGGCCTGCTCATGGATTTACTTGGACTAACTCCTTCTGAGCCCCAGCTCTAGGGTAGCAGCTTGAAAGGCACCAGGGACATACAGGAAAGAGCTGAATTGTCTGACATCAGGGCAAGGGCTAGAGGGGTGGCTTTCTCCCAGACAGAAGTGCTGGCAAGGGCTATTGTTCTGTCAATATAAGAAATATCCAAACCTGTAAGAATTTTTATGAGTTTATTTGAGCTAAACTGATGACAATCACTGAGAAACAAAACCTCCATGGATTGAGAAAATGCTCTGAAAAATGGCAGCTTTGCATCCTATTTTATACATTACAATCAAAAGAGAAGACATAAGTTGGTTATATGAAATCCACTGGTGATAGATTAGGGAGGTGGGAAACAGCAAAATGGGGAAACATCTGGAATTGGATAAAAAGTAAAATGATAGGCACATATTTCTTTTACATAGGTAAGTACAGGATCGTTAACAGTCAACAATTAACATGATAACAATAACAGTTAGAGGATCTGTGGTCTCCCCCTGGTGAGGTATCTATGCTTTGAGGGATCTGGAAAAAGGAAATTTGAACCTCAATGTTCATAGCAGCACAATTTACAATAGCCAAGTGCTGGAAGCAACCTAAGTGCCCATCAGTAAATGAATGGATCAAAAAACTATAGTGCATTTACATGATGGAATACTACGCAGCAGAGAGAAAGAAGGGGCCCCTACCCCTCATGACAGCATAGATGGAACTAGAGAGCATTATGTGAAATAAGCGAGGTGGTGAAAGGCAAATACCATATGATCTCACCTATAAGTAGGACCTAATTAACAAAACAAAGAAGAGAGGAAAATATAACCAGAGACACTGAAATAAAGAACAAACTGACAGTAACCAGGGGGAGAGGGGAGGGGATAATGCTGGAAAAAAGGGAAAGGGTCATCAAGGAACATGTACAAGGGACCCATGGATAAAACCAAAAGCAGGTGGGATTGAGGGTGGGAGGTAAGGGCAGGTGGGGCAGGGAAAAGTGGTGGGAAAACGGAGACAACTGTACTTGAACAACAACAAAATACAGGAAACTTGACATTCCAAAGGTATGTTATCATAGATGCAAAAACACAACAGACAGGCTCAATTAAGGTACAAATTGACTTTTGTCAGGGAAGATTCTAGCCTAGGACATGACTAACCATCATGATCTGCTTTTAGTTAGAAAGTTTTTAATTTCAGACCATCCCATATGGTTACTTTAGGTCCCTGAGTTTGTAAGGCAGCAATGTAGGCTTCCTCCAAGCTTGTCAGGTTTAGCATGTGGCCCCTTTTTGCTGAGCTCCTTCTCCACAGAGGTACTGGGCAGGCGCCATGTCCTAGTCTCTCATACTGTTTCCCCATCCCTGGTGAGTCCCTGAGGCCCCACGCCACCCAATATGCTGTTCCAGTGGCTTTTCCACACAAATATCCTGTCTTGGTTCATGCCTCAGACTTTCCTAAAATCTTTCAAACAAGCAGCATGTGTCCTCAGCATGCCCTGGACCTCTTGCTAAGTGGCCCCAGGCTTAGCACTAGTGGTAGCTGGCCTTGGTTCACAACTTGGCCTCTACTGGGCACCTCCAACCCCAGCACAAGTAGTGGCCATAAGCAGATAGTTCTGTAGCTCATGCTGGGAGGTCCCAGACAGAACAGAAGCAGTGGCTGACCTTGGCTTGCACCTCCTGGGAGAACATAGAGCCAGTACCCACAGTGGACAATTTCAGACCACGTCAAAGCACCACCATCCAACCACCTCAACAAGTCACACAGTCCAGAAAACGGTTTCTCTTCTACAGCTACAGATAAACACACAGTATTCTGAATTATAAAGTCAGTTTTTATCAAGAGGAAAATTGAAAATGGACCTGAGATTCTCCATCTTAATTGTCTGCTCAGGAATCCTGTGTAAAAATGTACATACTGTTTTCTATTATTCTAAAATGGTCCTCAAAATATTTATACAAAAGAGTCTTTTAAGACACCTGAATTTTGAAAGATTATTATTACTATGTCCTGTGAATTGTAACCCACCATCCCTAAAAGTCTGTAATTCTGATTGGGTTGTCCTGCTGAAGCATCTGCTGTCCTACTTGTAATACTTAAAAACACATCTTTTTTTCTGAAATATACAAATATGTGTGAGAGTTTTTTGAGCCAGAAAAAGAGCTTCAGGATTTCCCTCTCTCTTTACATATGAAAGAATGAGAAATCCCAAGCCTTTGCTGGAATCCTGCTTCAAATACAGAGTTGAGATCCTTGTCCCATTTATGTCAGCATATAGGCATGATTAAAGCATCAATCTCTCAGTCTCTCTCAGTGCATCTTGGCCAGGTCACTTCTGGCAATCATGAAGCAGAAGGCACAGGAAACAGAGATAGAAATGCATGTAGAACACATTCACATCAACAAATCTCGAACTTCCACACTAACCATTTGTTGAATGTCTCTCAGGGGCCAGGCAGAGATGCCACAAAGAGAGTAAGACACAATCCCTCATAAGGAGCCCTGAAGTTGATTTGGAAGACAACTGCCACACAATAGAATCAGTGTGGTGAAGCTAGGGACAGAAGGCTGTGCATGTGGCAAAGAGAAAGCTGCCACATGCCTGAATAACCAGATCAGGTTTCACCTAGGAGGGTCTACCTGAGCTGAGGTGTGATGGATGAGTATGAGCTTACCAAGTAAAAAAGGAGAGGGAAGAGCATCAAGAAATTAAGAGAGGGGATGATGTAGTCATTGAACATGTTTCGAAATTCAGCATGACTGATTTGTTATTTGTAAAGATAACTCTTTAGGGTAATGAAGAAGGCAAGACTGGAGATAGGAGGCTAATTAATAACACTTATTGAAAATATATTGATTACATATTTCTGTGTGCTAAGTTCTTTCTAGAGAATAAAGACAAGTAAATAGGCAACTACAAACTAATAACATGTTAAGTGCCATGCCCAGGAAAGTTCAAACAACAGCCAGAAGCAGAATCTCCCCATACTTGAGTGGCCTGGATTTCAGAAATCCAAGTGAAAAATACTTGGTGCAAGAAGGTAAAAGAGGTGATAGGTTTAAAGGATATTTAGAAGATAGAAACACCTAGCAGATTCTGTTAGGACCCTACATATAATGCTTGCTGTTCTCATGCACCTTACAGCTTGCCACTGCAAGCATCTCTGATCTTTACCTGAGACATTCGTGTTTGGCTTGCACAAGATGCAGGCTAAGAAGCACCAGGAACTTAGCAGTGAGGATGACCAATGTCAGATGGAAGTCAGTGGACAAATAAGCAAACCCAAGTTTGCTGGTACCTCAGGTGGGACCACTGTGAGGACTGTCTTACAAAGAGGAGCCAAATGGACTGAGTTTCCCTTGCTGACAGTGATAACCTGCTCAAACTGTCTCCCCTCCCTTCCCTGTCTCACTTCCCCATGTTCCTACCAATGCTCCCTGGAATCACCTCTCAAATAAATGACTTGTACTCAAATCTTTGTCTGGAGTTCACTTTTGGGGGAACCCAACCTGAAACAACAGAAAAAACTTAGTGAAAGATTAGCTGATGAAAATAAAGACTCAAGTAGGAGGCTATGAGATTTCTAGCTTGGGAGATGCCAACCCCATTAATTGAGATAAAGACTCTTCAGGAAAAGAAGACAGACAGATTTAGGAAGAACAAAAGGAGCCTGAGAAGATTGAGTTTCATGTGCCCAAGGGCTTTATCTCAAAATTTCCTGAGTACAAAGTTAAAACAGTATGGAATTTCCTCAAAAAACTAAAAATGGAACTGCCTTTTGACCCAGTAATTCCACTGCTGGGATTATACCCTAAGAATCCTGAAACACCAATCCAAAAGAACCTATGCACCCTAATGTTCATAGTAGCACAATTACAATAGCCAAGTGCTAGAAACAGCCTAAGTGGCCATCAGTAAATGAATGGATCAAAACACTGTGGTACATTTACAGAATGGGATACTATGCAGCAGAAAGAAAGAAGGAGCCCCTACTATTTGTGACAACATGGATGGAACTAGAGAGCATTATGCCAAGTGAAGTAAGACAGGCAGTGAGAGATGAATACCGTATGCTCTCTCTTTTAAGTGGAACCTAATCAACAAAACAAACAAGCAAGCAAAATATAATCAGACACATGGAAATAAAAAACAGACAGTAAGCAGAGGGGCAGAGGGAGGAAAATAACAGGGGAAAGAAGGGAAAGGGTTGTTAAGGAACATGTATAAATGACCCACGGACAAAGCCAAAGGGGGTAGGATCAAGGGTGGGAGGTGGGGGTGGATGGAGTGGGGGAAAGTGGTGGTGGGAAATGGAGACCACTGTATTCAAACAATAAAAACGATAAAAAGTAAAATAAAATAAAAAATAAAAATTATCTTTTGTTTGCAAAAAACAAGTAACATGTTTTGCTAAATAGATTTGGTGAAAGTCATTAGTTCATAAAGAAAAAATTTATGAATAAATTGAAAAAAAACAAAGACTCTTGACTTTGGAAAAAAATGAAAAGAAACTGAGCGGCAAAGGAACAATACAGAAAAGAAACCACCAGAAACGAACATCTTATTTCCCTAAAGGGCAAGCACAGTATCTTCCTTTGACCCAAGAGAATGTAAAGCCCTAGCTATTTCTTCCAGCCGTTTTCTGTATTCTAGTTTTTCATAGTTGGAGGGACTTACTCCTGTAAAACCATACATAACTCCCCACCAGCAGCCAGCAATGGCAGCCGTGGAATCACTGTCTCCACCATGGAAAAAGGCTCGGTGGGCAAGTTCCTTCCAGGAATCTCCCGCAGCCAGGACGGCATCGTAGGCAATCATGGGGGCATCGTGTCCACTGCTGCCGCCCCAGCCAGAGTAGCTCACCGAGGTGTAGAACTGATCCCTCTCCTTCACATCATAAGGCTTGGGGAAGGTAGGGGTGGATTTGCCATCCAAAATCCCTCTGAATTTTAGGTACTTTTCCCATTGGTCTTGGAAATAGGACCTGTAGGAAGAAAAAAAAAAACTACAATCAATTGAAAAAATAAAGTTGATAACCATAAGGGAAGGTACTAGATAGATGTGTGAATAGGGAAAATTCCAAGATGACTTCAATCTCTTGCATTAACTCAAAAACGATGTAAAAATCAAAATGAACTCTATCTAAGTAACAGTGATTCAATACGTTTTTGCTAAGGATAGATAGAAACAAGGCACTGATAACTGTTGCTAAATTAAAAAGACGCATCGCAAGTTAAAGGTGAGAAGTAAAGGTCTGTTTTTCCTGAGTTGAGAATGGCATTAAGTATCACCTTTCAAGGGAGAAACTTTATTTATTTAGTCTGTTCTTATACATTTTTCTTTTTAAAAAATAATTGATTTTAATGATGCCTCTGTCATTTATTTATTCCTAGAGAGAGGGGACAGGAGAGAGAAAGGGAGGGAGGGAAACACTTATGTGACAGAGAAACATGGAGCCATTAATGGCCTCTCACATACCCCCAACTGAGACTGGCCCACAGCCCAGGCCCTGAGAGGGGATTGAACAGGCAACATTTCGGTTCTCAGTCTGGCACTCAATCCACTGAGCTACACCAGCCAGGACTATATTTTATTTTCTTAATAAAAACTGTATATGTTGAAGGTGTACAACATAATGATTTGATATAGATAGATATGGTGAAATAATTAGTCAAACTAATTAATACATCATCATCTTATAGAGGGTTTTTTTTTTTTCCAAAAGGGGACTTTGTAATATCATGACCATGTGTGATTTCAGGAGAAAGCCTCTGGACCTTTTTATTCCAAGAAAGGCAATGTGCAGTAAACTCAGAAAAAGTGAAAGACGTGGTTTTTCCACCTACTAATTAGCTAGTAGAAAAACTATTTCTCGGGCATTCTAGGCAAGGATTTCAAAATATTGTGTGTCAAGACAACACTGAAAAACAAGTTCCAGGAGATAAACAGGAAAGTTCATCTCGGTATAGGTTAGCCATAAAAACTGTAGAAAGTTAGAATACAGAACAGGATCCTTATACATGGGGGAAGCACCACCGCAGTTGCACTACTCACTGAGGTCTGCACTTGGCTGCCTGATGGCAACCACTGCTAGAATTGAATTTGAAATCCTTAGCAGGTGGGCAGGGAGGGGCTGGATGGCATGGATGACAAAACTGGATAGAAAGAACCATGACAGCTGCTATGATCTAGGAATTCTAGGCATGCACAGGCCAGCATGTGAGCACACAAAGTCAACTATTTCCTAGCTGGAGCATGCACCTACAAACTTACCAGTGTTGAAGATTCTGCTCCACAAAGTAGCCTGATTGGACAATGTACTTTTTAGCTTCTGGTAGCACCTCCATCAGTCCTTTTCCCCATTGCTGGGGAGGCTTGCCATTCACAGCATAGGCTGTAAAAAGAGCAGACACAAGGGCTCCCAGGTAGCCAGTGGGGTGGTGATGGGTCATTCGGCCACTCTCGATGCTCACCTGGATCAGTGTGTCCAACTGGCTGAGGTGAGGGAACCTAAGACCGATGCACATGGCTCGCATGGCAGCCCCACAGCCTCCCTCATGATGGTTAAAGGGAATCCTCCAGCCATTGGCTTGGTCTGGCTTCAGCTGCATGGCATTCTGCACTGAAGTACCACCTGGGGAAGAGCCAAGTTGGGCATAGGGTCAGTGTGATGGAAGAAGAGGCTGCAGCAGGAAGGACCAAGTTCTGTTTTCAAGTTTCTTCAATGGAAAGGGAAAGCCAAAAAAATATGACAAATGCCTCAAATTCCCAACTCCAAGCCAATACTGTGCCTTACTTTATATATAACTCCTAGCATGGTAAGAGTTATTACTGAGACATCACAATGAATGAATAAGCTAAGGCTCAGAGCTTAAGAACCTTCTCAAAATCACATAATCAGCTTATTAGTGGCTCCATCAAAACCATCATGCTCCAAGCCCAAGCCATTAAATAACCCAATGAGAACCTCATAACTGGAATTCCCAAATGTCAGAAAGAGGACACAGTTCTAGAGTGAAGAGTGCTAGGCTCAGAGACGGAGCAATGGGTTCAGAGCTACAACTTGCCCTTGGTCCCCCCAACCCCATGTGAGAATGGTATAATCAGGTTTCTCCCATCAGCCTATCCTGCTAGGAACAGTGAATGCACACCTGCACCAAGCAGTGGTAGTAACATACCATGGGGTGTGGTATTATTGTTCCCTATGGTCAGTCTATTCACAACAAGGCCATGGAAGGCATAAGTGAACAAAGGAAATTTTCCACTTTTCAAACTGATGACATATCAGATATGGAGAAGGAATGAACAGATCAACTTCTAAGGCCAATCCTTGGGGTCACCAGCGACCCTGGGTGTCTGGTGGGGGGCAGTTTTCATCAGGAGGTGCTTTTCATCAGCTTATAATCTAAAATTCCTATGTTGAAGCCCTAACTCCTAAGTATCTCAGAATGTGACTGTATTTAAAGATTGGGCCTTTAAAGAGGTGATGGAGTTAAAATGAGAATGTTGGAGTGGGTCCTAAAGCAGCCTGACCAGTATCCTTAAAAGAAGAAACTTGGACACACAAAGAGACACCAGGGATGTGCATTGTGAGAGGACACAGATAGAAGGAGGCCATCTACAAGCCAAAGAGAAAGGCTTCAGGAGAAACCAAACCTGTCAACACCTTAATCTCAGACTTCTAGCCCCCTAGACAGTGAGAAAATAAATGTTCATCAAGCCACCAATCTGTGGCATTTTGTTCTGGCAGCTCAAGCTGCCAGAGGAGGAGAGGCAGGTGAGACGGGCTAGGCAAGAGGTGATTCAAATCACCTGGTTGTCCAAGTGGCTGTAACCATTTTCCAAAGTGGACAAGAACCACTGTGAGCATACCTGGGACAGAAAAGAGGTCTGTACAAGACACTTTCTGTTCTTCTTGAAAATGAAAAAGAATGTTTTCTTTATACTAATTCATTACAGAAAACTTAGAAAATATGAATAAGCAAAAAGAAATAAGAAAATATAAATACCCCCTTTACCCAGATATAAATATGAACATCTTTGTGTATATTCTTCCAGACTTGTCCCAACAGATATCCATGCATCCTTTATAACAGTGAATTCACAAGATACATCCTGTCTTGCAACCCACTTATCTTTCACTCAATATGTAGTATCTTTCTATATTAGTAAATATTTATCTATACAGTTTTAAGTGGCTAACAATTATCACCATAATTGAATAAATTATGGGACATTTAGGTTGTTCCTATTTTTATCACAACTATAAAAACTACTGTCCCCTTGATATGTAAATCTCAATCACTACTTTTTTATCCTCACCCAAGAACATTTTTCGTTGCTTTTTAGAGAAAGTGGGGGAGGGAGAAAAGAAAAAGGAAACATCAATGGGAGAGAGAAACATCGATTGGTTAGCTTCCATACACACCGGTGCCACACATGCCCAGAACAGGAACTGTGTGCGTTTGGACCAGGGACTGAATTGGGAACCTAGGTACGTGTGCCGACTGGGAATCGAACGCACAACCCTTCGGTTATGGGGCGACGCTCCAACCAGCTGAGGTATCAGTGAACCCTGTTTTATTCTCCACTTGTGCAGAACCTCCACTGGCTGTCCTCACCTGGTGCCCGGCCATCCATGTCTTCCATGCAGTCTAGGTAATGCTTAGCAAGAAGGGAATACAGTCGATCAAACTCTGAGACTTTTCCAGCTTCCACAAGAGCTTCTGCTGTAGCCAGGTGCATCACCGTGTCATCACTGACCCTCCACCCCTCCACATCTATGGCATCCAAGCCACCAAGCTGGGCCAGCTGCTGGTGAATCTTCTCCCCATTGCAGAGGAACTCCCACTTCCCATTGAAGTATCCCAAGGCATCTCCAGTTGCACTCAGCACCATGGCAGCCACATACCTCTCAATTAGTCCTCCACACATGATGAGGCTGTCTCTGGGGGAAAATTAAGACACACAGAGGATGAGGAGAAAGAAGAATCAGGAAAAAAATAGCTTTATCTACATTTTATTGAGCACTCACTACTTGTAAGCACTGTATTAAGTGCGCCTCATTTAATCTTCACAAATGTTCTACAAGGCATGTATTAGTAGGCCCATTTTACGAATGAAATGAGGGTTACAGAGATAATTCAGTTTCAGAAATGCTAAGTGACTTGTCTTAGGTCACAGAGCTAAGAGGCATAGCTAAGAGTCTATCTGACTTCAAAGTCCACAATTTTAACTACCACTTCATCTTTGCCTCTCTGCAAGTGATAAGCCCATTACATTCTACAAGTCCAACCAAGCTTATCATTTTCTTTTTAGTTGGGATTTGGCCTTGGAAGTGCATCCCGCCTTCACTTAAATAGTACTTTCCATTACAATGCACAGTTCACAAGGCACCTGCACATTCTCTGTCTCATTACATTCACTGTCTCATTACTAGGATGCAGTTCACAGATAAGAAAACTGGGGCCCAGAAAGGGTAAATTCACACAACCAGCGAGCGGAGGTTCTGGGACCAGAATCTTCTGCTTTCAGGCCACTCATCCCAGCACAAACCTACTCACTGGGGCAACCCCTTTGTGCCACAGCCTCTACATCTCTAAAATGGTGATAAAAAATATCCTTGTAGTAACAATGTCCTGGGTTTGTCATGAGGAGTAAATACATTAATTTCTGTGAAGCACTATTTTTATTACTCATACACAACCGGGGAAAGACTTTCTATTTATGAACCAGAATACCTTGTCCTAACAACCTTCCTTTCAACAGCAATATTTAAATTTTGTTTTTCTTCTAAATTATTAACTTCTAGAGGCCTAGGATCTCAGCTAATATAACCTCCATAAATCTAATTCTGGTAAAGTGCTGGTTTTCCTGCAGGTGCACTTCCAGTTCTCCACTGTAGCCTATTGCCTGTAGTACTCAAGTTCAAAGCCCTCCTGTCTGCCCCTGCTGGACCCAACCCCTCCACTTGCATAGGCCAGCTAAACACCTTTAACAACCAGTAGACTAGCACATTGTCGCCTCAGCTCAAGCTCTTTCCACATCCAAGATGCCAATCCTCCCTCCCACGTGCCTGAACTCGAATGACTCAAGGTTTAGAGTTCAAGTCCTCCGGCTTCCAGCAGCCCTTCCCCAGCTGCCCTGCTTTGGTCTGGGAATGCAGGCTGGTAAGCACCTGAAAAAGAGTAATTGAAGATTGAGCATGCCAATACTGATCCCGCTGAATTGCTTAGCTTACAAAGGATATTTGTAAAACATTATTTATGTGCTTTATTACTTAGAGATGACACCTAGGAACTGGAGTTCTGGGCTACTAGACCTAACTCTGCCAAGAATCTCAGTTGTGTGATTGTGGACAAGCCACCCACCCTGGACCTCGATTTTCTGAACTTTCAACTGGAGACTGGGGGAGGAAGGGGCTTACACGTCCTGTGCTAAGCGGTTCAGAGGACCAACTTTTAGTCCCTCTGTACCCCCTCCCTCTCCCAATGTCCTCAGTTTCCTTTCTGTAATTCCTTCTGGCTCCACCGAGTATTTGTTTTGTGAGTCGCAGGCAGGGGACAATGACCATCTCTTTCTGTTGGAAAATCCTTTTAACTTTCACACATAATGCACTAGCGTGTCACTTTCAGAACGGTGTTATACCTTAAACTCCTCTGAACTTTTACAGTTTACATTTTCGCCCCGACCTATAAATTCAAAACTAAGGCTGGTCAGTCGCTTCCCGGCAGACTTCTGCTTCTCTACCGAGGGGTGTGGGGGACGCGCCCATTAGAGGAGGGATGTGGGCGGGGGGCATCCAGCCACCGCTAGGGAGGAGAGAGCGCGCAGGGGACGCAGTGCTGGGGTGCAGCTGGTCCCTGGGGAGGTGGGGAGAACGTGCACCAGGGGCCAGGGCGAGGAAGGGCGAGGGAGGGGAAGGAGAGCGGGCGGGACCGGTCGCTGCCGGGAAAGGAGAGCGCGGGGGAGGGCGGGAGGGGAAAGGGGAGAGCACAGCCGGGGGAGTACCTGGAGGCCGGGGACTGGGGCGCCTGGGACTCAGCGGGTCAGGCACGGGGAGTTCGTAGCGCGGGAAGATCTCTGGTCGCATCCGGCAGCGGTGCACTCCGGCCGGACTCGGCAGGAACCAGCTCTGCGGGACAGGGGTGGAGCTGTGTCACCAGGCCTGGGGACCCCGCCCAGTTTCAACGGACCTTGAAAGGGTGCCCTGTGCCTTCCGCTTGGCCGACTTCGAATTCGGCGGAACTGGGGTTTCAAAAGCGGCTTTCTGGCACTGCGGCGGTCCTCGGCGCCCGAGCGGCGCCCGAGCGGGGGCGACGGGACCCGCGTCATCGCCAGTTGCCCCCAGGAGGGCGCGGAGAAGCGGCTCTGGGAACCCGGGCGCCTCTGTCAGTGATTCACGTGGGCTCCAAGCACATACATCGGTTTTTCTCCACACCTAGCTATGTGGGCAAATACTCGGTCTTCTTCACCCTTCTGGACTCATTGTCTACAAAAGAGGACAATAATAGTACTTCTTAGTGTGGTTGTTAAGATTAATTTTAACTCTTGTCATTTATTTGGCAGCAGAATATTAGTTTTTCATCCTGCTAGTAAATAAAAGCAAAGAAAAAGTACTTTTTCTGAATAAATTAAAAGTAAGAGTACTTTTGTCTGAATAAATTAATACCGTCATTTTAAAAAAGAATAGAATCAACATATATGTGTTCAGCAAAAGGCTCTGGCTACAAGAAAGAACAAAAAGCATTTATATGAGCAAAAGGAGACAGACAGGGACCAAGGAGTCTCTGTCCTCCGTAATGATCAAAGAAAGGCAGGTGTTATCAAGGCAAAAACTTTCTAGCTAAGCCAGCCAGGGTCGGTTAGTTCCAATATGCAAATGAGGGGGGCCAAAATTCCAAAGAGGTTAAGTCCTTACAGGCCCATCTAACAGTTGTTCCAGGATGTTTGTGGCTCAGCCTTGAGATAAGTTTTGAGCAACTCAGCAATTTTTTTCCACTGTATTTTTTCCATTATCATTAATATTCTATATACCTATCCAAAAAATTTGATTTGATATGCCTATTCTTTCTGGCTGTAATAACCCAGACTTGGTCTGAGAGTTTGTTTGCTTTTTTAATTGAGATACAATTTAAATGCAATGAAATGCACTCACTTGATGTGCTGTTCAGTGAGTTTTGATAATGTCACTTGGAGGTCAACTGGGCAGCGAAAGGGGAAGCATTAGCTTCCAGCCCCATTTGGTCAAGAGTAGCCCCACAGGCATTAAATCCCCCCATATTTCCAGGCTACCCAGGCTTGAGTGCACAACTTCCAAGGGTATAGCCCATACCCAGACAAGAAGAAGGCTCCTGCCTTTGCTCCAGCCAACAGCAGACAGAAAAGTGCAGGCCCAGGCAAGTTGCTGTAAGGTTCTGCATGAACAAAACAGGTCAGTTGGATCAGTATGGGTCAGCTATTCACCCACAGAATACTCCAGAATTTTACAGAAAAGGCACAGTATTAGCAAGCTGGCTGAAAGTGGGGTGGAGGGGACTAAATTTTCCTCACCGACTCCTTGGTTCTATCCTTATGCTCCCCTGAGGGGCACTCAACCATGGTTAGGGATACACTGCCCAATGTGGCTGCCAGGAGCCCACTGTGTGCCAATTGTGGAATGGAGAGGTGGGAGTGCGCAATCAAGACTTGCCTTGCAGACTTCTGGCCAAGATGGAGGCATAGGTGGACTCACTGTGCCTCCTCACACAACCAACATAGGGACAACAATAATTTAGAAACAGAATAACAACCAGAACTGAAAGAAAATTGATCTGAATGGAAGTCGGATAACCAATAAATTAAAATAGACCCATTCATCCAGACCAGTAGGAGGGGCGGAGATGAGCAGCAGGGCTCGGAGAGCAGAGAGTGTTGGGACCGGGCCTGTAAGGCATCTGGGGTGCACAAGACTGCAGCGGGTGGACGCTGAGCGCACAAGCAGCAGCTGGCAGACCCTGGCCGAGGGGTGGCAACTGGCAGACCCAGCGAGAAGGTGACTGTGAAGCAAGGTACTGCGAGCAACCAGGATCCCAGTGCTGGGAAATAGAGCCTTGGGGCACTGATTGAAAACACCTGTGGGGGTAGAGGCGCAGGGAGAGACTCCCAGCCTCACAGGAGAGGTCCTTGGAAAGTCCCACAGAGTGCACAAGCCCACCCACATGGGAATTGGCACCAGAGGGGACCAGTTTGCTCGGGGGAAGCACCGGATGGGACTGAGGTCCAACGGAGAGCGGAGCAAGCACCATTGTTCCCTCTCACACCCCGCCCCCACATATAACGTTGCAACCCAGCAACAGGAATGCCCTGCCCTGGTGAACACCCAAGGCTTCGCCCCTCATATGTAAGAGGCACGACCAGACCAAGGTGGGGGCGACGGGGGGAAGATGGCTCAAACAAAATTAAAAGCCTCAGAATCAGTATTTTTAAGCAACCAAGTGATAGCCAGCCTATCAGATGCACAGTTCAAAGCACTGGTGATCAGGATGCTCACAGAATTGGTTGATTTTGGTAACAAATTAGATGAAAAAATGAAGGCTACAATAAGTGAAATGAAGGAAAATGTGCGGGGAACCAATAGTGATGGAATGAAAGCTGGGTCTCACATCAATGGAGTGGACCAGAAGGAAGAAAAAACATACAACCAGAAAAGAATGAAGAAACAAAAATTTAAAAAAAAATGAGGAGAGGCTTAGAAACCTCCAGGACATCTTGAAATGTTCCAACATCCGAATTATTGGGGTACCAGAAGGAGAAGAGGAAGAGCAACGAGAGGAAATGCTATTTGAACAAATAATAAAGGAGAACTTCCCCAATCTGGCAAAGGAAATAGACTCCCAAGAAGTCCAGGGAGCTCAGAGAGTCCCAAAGAAGTTGGACCCAAGGAGGAACACACCAAGGCACACCATAATTACATTAGCCAAGGTAAAAATGAAAGAGAGAATCCTAGAAGCAGCAAGAGATAAGGGGACAGTCACCTACAAAGGAGTTCCCATCAGACTGTCAGCTGATTTCTCAAAAGAGACCTTACAGGCAAGGAGCTGGAAGGAAGTATTCCAAGTCATGAAAGGCAAGGACCTACATCCCAGATTGCTCTATCCAGCAAAGGTTTCATTTAGAATAGAAGGTAAACAGATAAAGATAAAGTGCTTCTCAGATAAGGTCAAGTTAAAGTAGTCATCATCACCAAGCCCTTATTTTATGAAATGTTAAAGGGACTTATCTAAGAAAAAGAAGATAAAAACATCTATAGTAAAATGACAGCAAACTCACAATTATTAACAGCCATACCTAAAACTAAAACAAAAGCAAACTAAGCAAACAACTAGAACTGGAACAGAACCACAGAAATGGAGATCACATGGAGGGTTAGCAACAGGGGAGTGGGAGGAAGAGAAAGAGGGAAAAGGTACAGAGAATAAGTAGCATAGATGGTAGGTAGAAAATAGAGGGAGGGCAAGAATAGTATGGGAAATGTAGAAGCTAAACAACTTATGACACAAGGACGTGAACTAAAGGGGAAGAATGTGAGTGGGAGAGGGTGTGCAGGGTGGAGGGGAGTGAAGGGGGGAAATGGGACAACTGTAATAGCATAATCAATAAAATATACTTAAAAAAAAAAAGAGTTGTCTTGCAATCTGAGCACTCTCCCAAAGGTGGCCACTATCCCTGAGGTGGGCGGCGAACTGCTGTAGTGGCATGACAGGGACTATAGATGGAAAACTCTGAGTGCTAAAACAAAACTTGGGACCAGCACAGAAATAGGGTTCCATAAAGCTCACAGAGTATCCATTGCAAACAGTCAGTGGAGTAGCCCGCCCTCTTCCCTCTCCCCAGACATTGAGGGGTTAGTCTAGCCACGCCCTAAGCTAATTTAGCTGGGCGAACTTCCTCAAATCTATGCACTCTGTTGAACACTTAGCAATTTGAACATCTCATACATTGATTTTCAACACAAGAAAAGAAGTTGTTCTTTAGTAAGTACATTTACTATTACTTTCATATGGGATAGCTTGGTGTGTTTTTTTTCTTCTCTTCTTACTGATAGATTTTTCTATTGATTTATTCTTTGTGAAGAGGCATCTAAGAATTGAGATACTTGTTTTTCTATGTTAATATATTAAGAAAGAAGTCGTTTCCAACACTATGTTGAATAAGAGAGGTGAAAGCAGTGGGCATCCCTGTTTTGTTCAGAATCTTAACGGAAACGCTTTCGGTTTCTGCCCATTGAGTATGATATTGGCTGTCAGTTTGTCATATATGGCCTTTATTATGTTGAGGTATGTTCCTTCTAATCCCACTTTACTGAGGGTTTTTATCACAAATGGGTGCCAGATTTTATCAAATGCTTTTTTCTGCATCTACTGATGTGATCATGTGATTTTTGTACTTTATTTTGTTTTTGTGATGTATCACATTTATTGATTTGCAGATGTTGTACCAACTTTACATCCCCAGAATAAATCCCACTTGATCCTGGTATGTGATCTTTTTAATGTACTGTTGGATCCAGTTTGCTTGTATTTTGTTGAGGATTTTAGCGTCTATGTTCATCAGAGATATTGGCCTGTAATTTTCTTTCTTTGTAGTGTCTTCATCTGGTTTTGGAATTAGGATAATGCTGGCCTCGTAAAAAGAGTTTGGGAGTCTTCTCTCTTCTTGAATTTTTTGGAATAGTTTGGGAAGGAGGTGTGTTAGTTCTTTGAATATTTGACATAAATTTGCCTATGAAGCCATCTGGTCTAGGACTTTTGTGGGTTGGGAGTTTTTTGATTACCATTTTGATTTCATTAGTTGTAATCAGTCCATTCATGTTTTCTGATTCTTCCTGATTCAGTTTTGGAAGATAGTATATTTCTAGGAATTTCTCTATTTCTCCCAGGTTGTCCAATTTGTTGGCATACAGCTGTTCACAGTATTTTCTTATAATCCTTTGTATTTCTATAATGTCAGTTGTTACTTCTCTTTTGTTTCTAATTTTATTCATTTGGGTGTTCTCTTTTTCCTCATAACTGGTTAAAGTTTCGTCAAACTTCTTTTTATCTTTTCAAAGAACCAGCTCTTAGTTATACTGATCTTCTTCTTCTTCTTTTTTTGCTTTTTAGTCTCTCTGTCTTGCTTCTTTAGGTAGGCTTGTGATGCCATGAACTTTTTCCTCAGGACTGCTTTCACTGTGTCCCATAGATGTTGAGTGCTTGTGTGTTTATTTTCATTTATTTCCATGTAACTTTTTTTTCTGATTTCATAAAATTTTATTTATGTAGTAAAGCTGATTCATTAACACGTGATTCCTTTTGTCCTCCTTAAATTATATTTTATTGATTATGCTATTACAGTTGTCTCAATTTTTCCTCCTTTGCCTACCTCCATTTAGCACTCCCCGCTCCCTCAGATAATCTCCATACCTTAGTTCATGTCCATGGGTCATGTGTATAAGTTCCTTGGCTACTCCATTTTCTATACTGTACTTTACATCCCCCTGGCTATTGTGTAACTACCTATTTGTACTTCTTAACCCTGTTACCTCTTTACCCATCCTCCAAAACCCCCCTCCCATCTGGCAACCATCAAAATGCCCTCTGTATCCATGATTCTGACTCTGTTCTTCTTGTTTGCTTAGTTTGTTCTTCAGATTCAATTGGTGATAGATTTGTATTTATTGCCATTTTATTGTTCATAGTTTTGATCTTCTTTTTCTTAAATAAGTCCCTTTAACATTTCATGTAATAATGGTTTGGTGATGGTAAACTACTTTATTTTCTCTTGTCCGCAAAGCTCTTTATGTGCCCTCTGATTCTAAAGGATAGCTTTACTGGGTAGAGCAGTCTTGGCTGTAGGTCCCTGCTTTCTGTGACTTTGAATATTGCCAATCCCTTCTAGCCTGCAAAGTTTCTTCTGAGAAATCAGCTGACAGTCTTATGGAGATGCGCCTGTAGGTAACTAACTTCTTTTCTCTTGCTGCTTTTAAGAGTCACCCTTCAAGTTGATGGAATGTCAGATATGGCACTAGCTTGTTGGCTCTGTAGCCCTGTGGAGGGAGGATTTAGAAAAGGGACAGCGGCATCTGCTCACCTTCATGGCAGACACTGCAGTTTCTTGATTGGTGCCTTTCAAGCTGCTACCCCGGTGCTGGAGCTCACAGAGAGTGAGTCTGAGTAGGTCTGCAGGTCCTAGTACCACACCTCTGTGTGGCACAATCACCAGAATCTGATGGAGGGAGGGGCCCTTATCATTAGATTTTCAATGCTTACTGGATGGTCTCCTGATCAGCTGCTGCCACAGACCTGAGCATCTTCAGAAATTGCCAGAAAGAAGAGGATTCTGTTGATAAATTCTCTTTGTCCACATCCCGGTTAGCTGCTTGTATCCAGGGCCTCTCTCACCCCAGAGTAACTGATCAAAGGGCCTTGGGGAAACCTAAAGGGGCTGTCAGCAGGTGGCACAGGGACTGTACCAGCATTTGCTGAGAATCTACTGCTTGCTACACATAGTTCTAAGTGCTTTAAATGGATTATTATCTCAAAGAATCCTCAGGACGCCAAAGGATTATTATCTCTTTTACACAGCAGAGAGGACCAGAAGTTAAATAACTTGCCCTAGGCACACATTGATAATTGTGAGAGCAGGCACCCAAACCCAGCATTGCACACAGCAGTGTGTATAGCCCCTAAAAGGCTGAGAAACAGGAACCGGAGGGTGTACTGGGTCCTCTGTTCCAATGATGGGACAGTTTTGGGACAATGACTGAAGGCAGGAAAATATTAGTGCTGAGTCTCCTTCCCTCCCCTCCTGCATCCCCAGCCGCTGCCCTACCACCTCCTACCTTTCTGATGGGCCCAGCTGTTTTGGTTCAACTCAATTCAAAGGGGAAAAGAGAAGGAAGCTGTGTTTTGGTCTTTACTCCAAACATCCTTCTTCCATCCAGTTTTTTCATGAATAAAACTGGTACCTTAAACCTTCAATTTTAAAAAATATGAGACATACACACTGACACAGAAAGGAAAATCAGCAAGCCTTAAATTATCCACATTTGAACTGATCACTTATGAAGAAAACCCAGGAGACAAACTGGAGCGGGTCCCAGGAATGCCTCCTGAGGAATAGAAAGAAATCACCTCATTTGGTCCTGTCCCCAATGACAACAGGTGGGGTGGGGGTGGAGGCGGGGCTATGGCTCCTGCCACACCAAAGGATTGGCAGAGGAAATGGGCTCTCAAACTCGCTTTCTTCCCTGTTGAGCAATCTGTAATATCATTGTATTGCCAATGCTTGGGGCTCCTTTATGCTCAGTCCCAGCTGGCGCACTTTTCTAAAAACCACAGTTAAAAAGCACAGTCTTTGGTGAATGGAAGCATGGCAGCTTCTGAAAGCAAGGTCCGTCTGGACCAGCCTGTGTTCCTTACAGACCCTTCTGATATTTTGGTCTTGCTTTACAGAAAAGGATTTGTAAAACATCGTCCCCCATTTTCCAGGGACTCCAGCGGAAAGTGAGAGGGAGGCTTCATGGGCCTGTGCTGGCTGCGGGTCTCCTTTCACCTTCAGGAACTGACCTCCAGCAAGGGGCCAATTCACCACTTCCTTTCTGCCTCAAGGAAAGGACTGAGTGTCAAATTCTTAAGAAAAAATCAAGCCAGAATTATGGACTCTTGCAATCTGTATCAGATGTTTTGGGCACATATTTACTGGTGCTTTAAAAAATTGACAAATCTTTTGTGACCAAAAATAATTCTTCCCACACTTAAAAAAAAAAGCCTCTCTTTATCTTTACCCTTTAGCATTATAATTATGATGTGTCTTGGAGTGGGCCACTTGTCATCCATCTTGTTTGGGACTCTCTGTGTTTCCTGGACTTGCATGTCTATTTACTCCACCAAAATGGGAAGTTTTCTTTCATTATTTTTCAGATAGGTTTCCAATTTCTTGCTCTTTCTCTTCTCTTGTCACCCCTATAATGTGAATGTTGGAATGCTTGAAGGTGTCCTATAGGCTGCTTAAGCTATCTTCATTTTTTTTTTGTCATTCTGATTGGTTGTTTTTGGTTCCTTATTTTTCAAATCATTGATTTGATTCTTGGCTCCATCCACTCTACAGTTATTTCCCAGTAAATTGTTTTTTATTTCAATCAGTGTATCCTTCATTTAACTGGGTCCTTATTATGGTGTCGATGTCCTCACTAAGTTAGTTGAACATCCTTATAACCAGTGTTTTGAAAACTGTATGTGATAGATTACTTATCTCCATTTTGTTTAGTTCTCTTACTGGAGTTTTGATCTGTTCTTTCACTGGGGCCATGTGTCTTTGTCTCCTCTTTTTGGCAGCCTCTCTGTGCTTGTTTCTATGTATTAGGTGGAGCTGTTATGGCTCCCTGTCTTGGTAACATGGCTTAATATAGTAGGTGTCCTGTAGGGTCCAGCGGCACAGCCTCCCGTATCACTCAAGCAGAGTGCTTGAGGTGCACCCTTCATTTGGGCTAAGTATACCCTTCTCTGGTAGTTGAGTCTTGATTTTTGTTGCCTGGTCAATGGGAGGGATTTACCCAGGCCAGTCAGTTATAAGGACTGGTTGCAACCACTGACCACCAACCTCTGCCCTCTGTGGACAGTCAGCTGTCCAGGGGCAGAATAGTGGTGCTTCAATGTAGCCAGTAGCTGATCACTGATATATGCAGGCTCTGGGGTTTCCTGGGTGGTGCAGGTCAAGGTCAGCACCAATCATTGTTCTGCACAGGGCCACCCTTCTTGAACTACAAAGCAATCTGAAGACAGCTGCTACTTGTGCTGGGCTTAGAGGTTCCCAAGGGAACCAAGCTGTGAAACTATGCTGGATACTGCCAGTACCAGGCCTGGGGCCACTTAGCAAGAGGTAGGGGAACTTGGGGTTTACTGAGGCCAGCTTTGCTTGTTTGAGAGAATTTGGGAAATTGTGAAGCATGAGCCAAGACCAGCCATTCATATGGAACAGCCTGTCTTAACAGCTTGGGTGGGGTGGAGCCTCAGGGGATCTCCAGGGAGTGACAACAGTGTTAGCCAGGTTGGTGGAGTCTCAGATATGGCACCCACCTGCTAGCTCTGTAGCTCTGTGGTGGAAAGGTTCAGAAAAGGAACAGTGGCCTCTGTTTGCCTTTCTGTCTGGTAGAAAGCTCTCCCCCAGCTCTTGCCTTGATGCCAGACACTTCAGTTCCTCCCCTTATGCCACTGGTGTTTTTCAAGCTGCTATCCTGGTGCTGGAGCTCAGGAGTGAGTCTGAGTAAGTCCGTGTGCATGCTCTTTAAGAGGAACTGCCTGGGACTCCAGAAGTTTCTTCCACTGATTAAATCCCCACTTCTTTTTGCAGGCAGAAGTTATGGGAACTTATCTTCCTGGCACTGGAAACATGGGCTGGGAGGCCTGGTGTGGGGTTGGGACTCCTCACTCCAGAGACATCCCTCCCAAATATTTATCGACCACACGTGGTTGTAGTACCAGCCCATTCAGCATCTCCACATATCTGCCCCTCCTACCAGTTTTGGTGGGTGTAGTTTCTTTAATTCTGTAGTTGTCAGACTTCCATTCAACTAATTTTCTGACAGTTCTGGGTGATGACTGTTGTATAGTTTAGTTGTAATTCTGATGTGGTTGTGCAAGGATGCAAGCTGTGCTTCCCTTGCTTCCATCTTGACCAGAAGTCTCCATGCAACTTTTGAGTTCTTCCTTGATCTCATTGTTAATCCATTCATCATTTAATAACATGTTATTTAGCACCCATGTGTTCGAATGTTTTTCAATTTTTTATTGTAGTTGATTTCTAGTTTCATACAATTGTAGTCAGAGAAGATGCTTGATATGATTTCAATCTTCTTGAATTTATTAAAACTTATTTTGTGTCCTAACATATGGTCTGTCTTTGAGAAAGTTCCATGTGCACTTAAGAATGTATATGCTACTGCTTTGGGATGAAATGTTCTGTAAAAATCAATTAAATCCACCTGATTCGGTGTGTTGTTTAAGGTCATTCTTGCCTTGTTGATTTTTGGTCTGGAATGTCTATCCATTGATGTCAGTGGGGTGTTAAATCCCTACTATGACTGAATTGTTGATTTCTCTCCCTTATTGTCCATCAACATTTTCTTCATATATTTAGGTGTTCCTATGTTTGGTGCATTTATGTTTACAATGGCTATATCCTCTTGTTGGATGAGTCCCTTTAGGGTTATGTTGTGACCTTCTGTGTAAATGATGTTTTGTACACTGAATCCTTATAGTTTTGCAAACCAGTATGTTCTGCAAAGGATCTGAACTTTCATGGATTGGCCATTATATTGTAGTTCTCTACATTTCTAACCAAGATTTGATCATCCCAACTGAGCAGAGAGCCATTCCATGGGAGAGCTGTGGTTGGTTCTTGGAACATGTAGAAGGTAGGGTTACCTCCCCAAAGTCCACCCAACCTTTACTGTGAACTTGCCATCATGCCCTGGTTTGGAGATCACTCAGATTAGGATCCTCAACTTATTTTAGGCAGGCAACTAGTAAGTTTTACCCCACAGTGAGCTGACCATTTTTCTTGAGTGACTTTTATATTCTTCTTTTTTAGGTTGTCAAATCCACAATTTTTAATACTTAGGAATTTGGAGACCTAGGTACACCATCAGCCTCTTCTTGGTGTGTTTTATAACTGAAGTGAGTGTTTGGGGCAATTGAATTATCTTCTGCCCAAGCCTGGTGCATGTTTGGAAGGTGCCCAGTTCTCACGTGGTGCAAAATTACTTACTTTCGTTTTCCATCGGAAGCAGCAAAAGCCATGGACCAAACACTAATGCTGGAAACACTACTGCCCAAGTGTTCATTCCTCAAACTCTTTCAGCTTCTGGTGCTGGCTGGTCTTTTTTGCTTCTGTTCAGGTAAGCAACGTGACTGAGTCCATTGTCTCAGGGTCTAGAGAAAGGAGATGAGATTCTCAGTGCTGTCCTCTCTATAGTCCTGCCAAGTGGCATATTTCTGTCCATTTCAAAGATGAGAAAGGTCCTGCCTGTGATCATACAGCAAGTCAGTGACCAAGTTAGCTCAAGAACCCAGACCTTAAAGCAAGGGTGGGATAGTGTTATTTTAACAAAACCATAAAGCTGATTCAGAAGTCCAGCTTAGAGTTGTGGTCTCTTCCATGAATACTAGTTTCACACTAGTGCATTGGTTTAGGGCTTTGATTACCAAACTGTATTTCTGTGAGACAACACAGCTAAAGTGTTCTGCTTCTAAAACAGGGCATTGATGATCTTTCCAATTTGAAAGGGAAAGAGAAAGCAGTTGAGGCATATAATCTTCTTAATGTTGAATTTTTCTCTTAATATTTATTTTTATGCTTTAGGTATTGATGCCCTTTGTGGACACTGACATCTGACATTAATTGTATCAGATTTAACATGAAATTATATTTTTAGTTATGTTAAACTTCCTACATAACTATTTCATGTGTGTTTTGCAAAGAATACTTGACTTCTGGAGGCATTTGTTTCAGCTCAGGTGCTGGATTTAAGGGACTGTTGGGAAGGGTGGGACTCATCCTGGCAATAGGATGGTTCTGACTTTACTTTTAAAGTCAAAACAGAAGATTGCTTTCTGCTGAGTATCTGGTTTCCCCAAAATAAAGGCTTTGACTCCAGCACAGTTTTCCAGTCTACAAAGAGCTGAATATCAAAAGTGCTTGTGTTAAGAGCTGCTTGCTTAAAACATGTCTGCACTATGGGCATTGTCCAGAATATCGAAGGTGTGAGGAAGAGAGGTTGAGGAAAGGGAAGAGGAGTTAGGGTACACAAATTACTTGATTATTTGTGTAAACTTGACAATTATAATACATTTCCAAAAATTCCAATTTTCTTCTGAGAAGTTGGGAAAGCACCCTCAAACTAGAGTCTTCTGGATAGTCTAAGTTACAAATTATTTAGAAGGATTTTTATACAGGCTTTTCTGGGGGTGGGAGGGTGTGTCTGTGTGTGACAGAGAGAGAAACAATAAAAAAAGAAAATATTAAAAAAGCATCAAAAATAAATTGAATAAAATATATTAAAAATTGTAGCAGTAAAAAAAAGAACATTAAAACTAAAACCAAGACTTTAGTAATTATACCAGAAAAATTAGTCATCTGCAAATGGAAGATGATCCTGGAGCTAAAGAAAGATATTTAGGAAAGTACCTTGTTCTATAGCAGTGGTTTTAACCTTTTTCATTTCATGGCACACATAAACTAACTACTAAAGTTCTGCAGCACACTAAAAAAATGTATTATATTTTTTGCTGCCATAACAAAAAATAGGTTTAATTTTGACTAATCCACACCAGACAGCTATTGTTGTGTTGGCTGGTGTCATTTTTTATTTGATAATCTAAGGGAAAAGAGGTCAGTGCCTCTCACTAAACAGTCAGGTATTGCATGTTTTAAAAATTCTTGTGGCGCACCAGTTGAAAATTGCTGTTCTATAGCTACATCCTGATTTTAGTATTACTGTACTGAGTCACAAACAAACCCATGAGCTTTTTATGCCTGAGCACTTACCAAATATGTCTTAAAAACTGAGCCTGGGATTCCTGCTCTCAAAGAGATTTGAGTATTGTCAGTTGGATGAGGCAAAACTGACTCGCAAGCAAGTGAAGGGCAGTGAAGTCTGACTGGTCTGACTTCAGTCAGACGTTGCTTGGTCTGACTGTAAGCCTAAGCCCTGAGAAAGGTGTACCAGTGTGGGCTGGGGTAGCTGGGCAGGTGGAAGACGGGTGATCATCTGAGAATTCTATGTGGGGCAGGAGTATGGACAAAGGCACAAATATAAGGATGAATCTGGCACATGCATTTATTCTTTTGTTTAATCATTTATTAATTCAACAGACATTGAGCATCTCCTAAGTACAAGACAATGTTCTTGGTGTTGGAGACAAGTTATGGGCAAAATTGACATGGCTTTTGCCCTCTTAGAATTCATGGTTGTTAGGAAGAAATGAAAATTAATCACATAATCACCCAATTGATGGTATGAAAAACACTGTCTTTCCCTGCCAGAGGGGAGAGTGGTAAGAGTAAACTGGGGAGAAAGTGGAAGGAGCAGCTGGTGGGAGAAACCAAGAGCAAGGGAGTAAAGGGGTGGGAGGTGGGGGGATGGGGACCAGACTCCACAGGGCTTGAAGGCCATACTATCTGGAGGTCACTGGGAAGTCATGGAAGGGTTTTAAGCAGGGGAGTGACATAGTCTATACCAGTGCTGCTCACACTTTTATTTTACATCCTTACCTGGAAGCCTTGTTAAAATGCAGTGTCTAGCACAGGGACCTAAGTGGAAGGGGTCCCAGTGGGGATTTCCAAAATGCTCAGAAGACTTTTGGTTCCTCTTTTCAGTCTGATTCTTCCTCAACGTGGGCATCTTTCAAGGTGGCCTCACATAGTGTATCACTGACCTTTAAGATACTTACACTTCTTGAATGACTAGACAAAAATTCCTTAAGAAACATCACTGAAGTTAGCCCATTTGTACTGACATCAGCATCGTGGAAGAGTCAAAGGCCTTCTTTGTTTCTCCCTTAAATTTATAAGAAGTCAGACAACTATAACTCAACAAAGGATCCCCTGCTCACCACACAAACTTCCTCAGAGATCCACCCATCTGAAGGTGGGTGTATTGGAATGAGTAGGGGAGGCAGAATGGGAAAGTGTGGATAAAGACACAATTTGGCACCCACTGTGGCTCCAGCAAGCACAGCAGTGGCAGAGGTGTCAGGCTGCAGCCCTCACACTACGGCCTGGAGCATAAGAAAGGCAGAGGTGATATCCTGCCCTGAGAGGACAGCTCTGTTTTCCCCTCCCCATTGCAGCAGAGCCCAGGAGAGGTGACTTGGATACTTAAACATCACAGCAGTGCTGGCAGCCATTACTAACAGGAAGACAGAGCTGCAAAATCATGAAATTGCCTCCCTTGCACCACTCATCTCCACAAACCCTGGCAGAGGCAGTGGAGACAATTTCAACAACTCAGTGGAGCCAGCTGCCATTAATAACAAGGAGGCAGTGCTCGGAGCTAACAAAACTGGTTCTCTACCATGCTGGTGGTACCCCTTAAGCAAGTGGAACAGAACACAGAGGGGACATCCACTGTTCCAATGGTTCTGTGGCATTTTCCTCAATTTAACACCCTAAGTAAGAGAAAACAAAAACTTGTGCTATACCACCATCTACTGGAAAACAAAAGAAAGTAACCTACTTATCAAGCTACTGAATTATTAAGAGCAAAATTATCTAAATAAGAAAAGCATTCACAGACAGAAAAACAATTCATAAAGAACCATGAATAACCAAGGTAATGTGGAAGCACAGAAAGAAAATGAAAAGTCTCCAGAAATCAAACTCAAAGTCATGGAAGACTGCAGTTAAAATGACAGAGAATTTGAGATTGCAGTTATGAAAAAACTCAAGGAAATACAAAACTCAGAAAAGTCATTTGATGAACTCAGAAGTAAAATTAATGAACAAAAAAGAACCAGAGAGAAGACAGAGGCCAAGTAGGTGGAAGCTGAGTGCTCTAGCTCTTGCCTCCAACTTGCATACTTGGTGAATTGCTGGCAAATAAACTGAACATTCTATGGAATCTTAGCTGATGTGAAGTTCAGAAGCCAAGGAGAACAGAAGACATTTCACAGTGGGCGGTAGGGAGATTTTATAGGTTGAAGGGGAAATACCCCCTGGCAAGGAGCCTGCAGCTGTGGAAAGCCTAGTCAGAAATCACAGCTTTGTTACTTCCTTCCCTCCCTGGGAACCCCCAGATCCGGACTGGAAGTGACTTGGAAACACAAAGTCAGGGAGATCCAGGCTACAGACACACTCAGTGAGCAGCACACCCAAAGCTGCAGTGGCAAACGCCAACCAGGAGAGTGTCAGAGAGAGAGGGGGATTCTATCCACACCTGGGTTGGGTGGAAGCAGGCTGGGGCCAGCCAGGACTGTGACAGACCTTCGACTTTTGGGAAAGGTGGTTGGTGTGTGTGGAAAACCAGACAGTGACTCAGTTCTGCAGTGAGTGTGCCCAGAAAGACTTTTTAAAGGGGGAGCTGAAGCATGCTGGGCAGGGACTCTGTGCACAGCTGCCCTTCCAACAAAGGGAAAAGATAAAAAGTGCAGTTTGCTCCCACTGAATACTGCTGGGCAGAGAGATCCGAAAGGTGCATAACAAGGGGATTTCTTGGCCCCAGCCAGGCCCAGCTAGCAGGCTGGAGGCTGCAGAGTGAAGAGTTTGGAACTGTGCATGCTATAAGGGCAGTGGACTGGGAACTGGACAGGCAGGAGTTGAGCACCTGTGATGCAGACCCCGGCTCGTGGGGTCCACCACATTGTGGATGAGAACCGAGACATTCACACAGACTACCAAGTCCTGTGGAGGAAAAGGGAGAGCATGGCTTTTCTCTCAAGTGGAGCAAAAGCCTCAGCCCTTGTTGTGACCGGCCTTTATTGGGTTTCTCAGTATATTACATGATGTTCCTCATTTACTATGCATGGTTCGCTTTAGGTGGTTACCTTTTACAGAAAACAAAGGACCCAATGCTGCTAATCACATCACAGAAGAGGGATATTTGCAAATGAAAAGGGAAAAGTAGTTGAACTGGTTACACTAGTCCCTGGAAGATTTAGCATGGATTTTAGGAAGTTACAGTAAGCACTTGCTGTCTCAATTCAGGGTGAGGGAGTTTTAGCAAAAGCAAGTCTCAAAGCGGCCTAGGTACATTGCAGGCCTGACTCCCTATGAGAGAACCTATTTGTGGGCATGGGTCCTGTGCATCTCTGAGTGAGAGCTGGGCCCACACCATGCAGAACATTCTCCTACACACCTGAGATTATTTATAGCCAGGCAAAAAACCCCCTTCCCCGGCCAGCAGAGTTCAAACCTCTGGGAAGGGAAGGATGCACCCGGCCCCCACCTCCTGCATGATTGCAAGCACCACCACATCAAATTGGGAAGCTCTGCAAAACAGGCAGGACGGGCTCAAGAACCCTGTGTGGTGTGCATTCCACAAGAGAAAGACAGAAAAAGAAACACCAAAAGGGCACATTTTGAACTTCTCCCAGGGAGACAAAATACACTGGTTTCTAGGGCCCTATTCCACTGAGGACTGCAAAGTAGGGAGATTAGAAATCAGTGCAGCAAGGGAGAATCAAGGCCACACCTAGCCTTGGCTGGCACACAGAACTGCTGTCAGCACCAAGCAGGAAAGGGCTGACCCTCTTACATAGATGGGCCCCTCCCTTGAAACAGACAGCTAGTTCATCAGAAACTACACATTATTGGAAATAAACTGGGACAGACCAAGATTGGTGGTGCAAGGGCAGGGGAATGCACCCACAATTTTTCCAGAAGACTGAACAGTGCCTCCCAGCGGAGACCCTGGGGTCCCACCCTCCCCATCACAATAGAAGCCCCCTCTAGAGGCAGGTGAAGGCAATACAAGTGGTGCTGCCAGAAGTTGAACAACCCACCCTGGGACCTTGAAATGATAAAAAGCCAGACGCAGGTCCAGAAAGAGAAGACAGAAGGCAAACACCAAACTCTGCTGAGATGAATTCCACCTTGTTCTTCTTCAGAATTTATGTTATTTTTTTCTTCCTTTTGCATAGCCTTTTTTTTTTAAGATTTTATTCTTTGTATTTTTTTTTAAAGAGGGAAGGGAGGGAGGGGGAGAGAGAGAGAGAGAGAGAGAGAGAGAGAGAGAAACATCAATGTGCGGTTGCTGGGGGTTATGGCCTGCAACCCAGGCATATACCCTAGCTGGGGATCAAACCTGCGACACTTTGGTTCACAGCCCATGCTCAATCCACTGAACTACGCCAGCCAGGGCTGCATAGCCTTTTAATATTTCTTCTTTTGTTCCAATTGTATTCCAACTAATGAACTATTCTTTGTCTTTTATTTTTTATTCTTTTTATTTAGATTTTTATATTATTTTATTTTATTTTTATTTCAAATCTCACATCGTACCCTTCCCTTGTCTTATTCCATTTTGCCTTCTTCCTGCCCTTTCTTATTTTCATTGTAAATAGTATATTTTCCCCTATGCTACACCTTGTTCCTATTTCTTACTTTATTTCTCCTCCCTCTATCCTCTCAAAATCATCCTTCCTTCCTCTAGTCAGCTCACATTCTTTTTCACCTCCTTATATTTTTATTCTCTTTCCATCTTTATTAATCTTTGCTCAGCTGTCATTGTTATCGATCTTCTTGTGGCCTTTCTAAAATTTTGTGCCTTTTGGTTCTCTATTTCAAACATCATATTATACTCTCCCCTTTTCTTACTCCATTTTGCTATTGCCTATTTTCCTTAATTTTAGATTTTATTTTGTCCTTTGCTTTGTTTCTATGCCCTACTCGTATTATTTCTCCTCCTTCTTCCCTCTCAAAATTATTTTTCTCTCCTTTAGTCATCTCATATTCCCTTTTTCCCTTTTTCTGGATGCTAAGGCAACCCTAGAGCATCCAGAACAATCTTTGTTCAATTGCTGTTGATGTTGCTGATGTGGTATGGAGTACTTTTATTGGCGTGGGTTTGGTTTTCTGGGTAGTGTGGCTTTATTAACCAGCACCTGTACAACCACACACAAGATGTAGTGGGAGCTGTGACTCCCAGTCAGCCAGCCAGAGGAGAGAGCCCAGCAATGAATGAGCCATCAATAATCAAAGCCAAAGTACAGCCAGAAAGGCCACATGAACTGCATAAAGGGCAACCCTAGAGCATCCAGATCAGATCAAAGAGACCATCTGTAACAATGATCATGAAAATCCCCTCAAGAGATCACATTTCTTAACTCTGACTTCTATATCCCTGTGGGGCTGAGTGCATGTCCAACCTGTGGTTGGAGTTCACATGCTAGATTTCCCAAAGTCCTTCTTCTTACAAGACTAGTGGACCTCCTACCTCACTGTCTATGGAGAGACAAATGGAGTAAGAAAATGTGGTGTATATATATTTATATATATAATAGAAGATTATTCATTATAATCATTATCTTATTATCCTTCCTTAAATAGGAGGGAAATTCTAGCACATGCTAAAACATGCATGAAACTTGAGGGCATTATGCTAAGTAAAATAAGCCAGTCACAAAAAAACAAATACTGCATGACTCCACTTACATTGCTATCTAAAGTAGTCAAATTCATAGAAACATAAAGTTGAGTGGTGGTTACCAGGAATCAGGGAGAGGGAGAAAGGGGTGCTGTTTAATATATATAGAGTTCCAGACTTGCAAGATGAAAAAGTTCTGGAGATCTGTTTCACAACAATGTAAATATACTTAACACTACTGAACTATACACTTAAAAATAGTTAAGATGATAAATTTTATTTAATTTTTAACCACAATAAAATATCAAAACCAAACTGCATTCTTTGATTGTGCTTGGTCACTAGATACAACACCGTGAGTTCTGTTACTGACAACTCTGATTTCCTGCTTGTACAGGCATATATGTTTAATAAATATATAAAATCTTGTTTTATTTGCCTCTCCTTAGGTATCAGCCAGGTGACCAAGAGAGTGAAAGATACGGCAGTACTAACCTGTGATTACAATATCTCTGCTAATGACCTGACAAGAGTTCGAATCTACTGGCAAAAAAAATTATATAGTGATGTGGTGCTGAGTGTCGTATCTGGAGAAGCAAAAGTGTGGCCCAAATACAAGAATCGCACCATACCTACCATCACCAATAACCCGTCCATCGTGATCCTGGCTCTTCAACTGTCGGACAGCGATATCTACGACTGCATCATTCAGAGACTTGAAAAAGGGGGTTACCAAATGGTACATTCAAAGTCGGTGAGATTACTGGTCAGAGGTCAGTGGAATTTTCTGATTTACTCTGTCTGCAGACTCTTGATGCCCTTCAAAATATACTATTGAATTAGGTGAACATTTTCTCAAAGAGGGATGTATCTCATTGTATTTGTTATGGCTAAGTGAATCTCTAGTTTTACAGTAAACCCTAACTGATTTCTCACAATGTCCTGGACATATTGTTACAGAACAAACAAGGGGGGCCTGGGACGATATACTATTATTGAAAGAAGGCCCCGGGTCCATTATGTCCGCCGCCCTAGGAAAGACGTCTCTCAATGCCAGAGATTTGTGAAAAGGAAAAGAAATGTTCATTTAACGCTATACAAACTTCAAGTAGTGACCTAATGTCTTTATCAAAAATCCTAAAGCCCCTAAAAACACCCACAAACACACAGTCCTTCCTTCCTTCCCCCTTTGCCCAGTCCAGAATACCGTATCTCAGGAAAGGAATAGAAGTCCATGGCTCAGGCAGTCCTCTGGTTCTTAGTTAGCACTCCATCTTGACTGGGAGACCTCCTTGGGTTCCCGGCACCCTCGGCTGAGTCACCAGGATCTCTGCTAAAACCAGGTGGTGGTTCCCCCTTCTATAGCTGTGGGGGTCCCCACTCTGTCCAGGCCACGTGGTTCTCCCTCTCTGGGATGCGGGAGTCTCCACTCTGCTAAAGACGCGTGGTTCTCCCTCAATGGCTGCCGTGTCTGGGTTTAAATCCCCCGTGCCAATATTCTTCTGCAGCCCCATTTCCGACTCCTCCTACACTTGGGCACACTTGCCCTCAATCTGCTGTCTCCTCCAGCTTTTCTGGTCACCATCGTGGGTCTGGGCAGGTGTGACCCCATGTCCTGGAGCCAATCTTCTCCCAGCTCCCACGCAGGCGCTGTAACTCAGGGGACCTGCCTCCCAGGTCCCATCTTGGGGGGGAGGTCCCTTTCCATCCCCCTGGCCTTGAGCATGGCCATAGCTATTTAGCATATCTAAGTGACCAGCCAAAGGCTATAGGTATGCTAAATGACCATGCCATGGATCAGCTGCAAAGCTGCCCTGCATGTTCTTGCTCTGTGTGCCCCTTCCCCCAACTCACACCTGTGGGGGAAGGGGTGAAGACACCTTAAAATCTCCTGGACACCTTAAGTTCTGGACCCCATTTTAAATGCCTATTTGGGGTCCCCCCTCTTGGCTGCACCCTGTAACAATATCTCCTAGTGTTCATTTCTGTTACAGAACAAACCCAGGGGGAGTAAACAATATACTATTACCAAAAGGTCCCCCCCTTTTTCTCCGGGGGTTCCCCACACTGTACTAGGTTCACTTTGCCCACCGCCAGGGAAAAGACATCTCTCAATGCCAGAGATTGGTGAAAAGGAAAGGAATTATTTATTTAAAACTTACACAGACTTAGAGTAATGACTTAATGTCTTCATTAAAATACAAAAGTCCTTTACAATACCCACAGATGCACACAGTCCTTCCTTCTCCCTCTGCCCAGTCCAGGGTACCATATTCAGGAAAAGAAGGCTCCCAGCACCATCAGCTGCATTGCCACCATGATCTCCAGTTAATCCAAAGCCATGTGGCACCTTCTCATGGCCCACCAGCAAGAGTCCTTTTACCCCTTTTCTTCCAGGCAAAGTCTCTCCTGCTTCCTAAGCCACGTAGCAAAAGGGAGCACCCCAAAGCTGTGTTGTCCTGACTCTCACCCAAGCCATGGGGTCCCCTCTCTGACAAAGTCACGTGGTCCCCCACCTTGGCATGGCTGCCGCACCTGGGTTTAAATCCCTGTGCCAATCTTCCTCTGCAGCCCCATTTCCAACTCCTCCCACAATCAGTTATACCTGCCAGCATTCCCATATTCTTTCAGCTTTACTGGGCTGCCATAGTAAGTCCAGGCAGGCGTGGCCCCATGGCATGGAGCCAATCATCTCCAAGCTCTCGTGCAGGCACTGTAACCAGGGGGAGATGCCTCCCAGTTAAGTCTTGGTTGGAAGTCACTTCCAACCCCCTGGCTCAGAGCATGGTCACAGCTATTTAACATATTCATGAAACCATTTAAAGGTTATAGATATGTTAATGACCATGCCAGAAGTTAGCTACAAAGCTGTTGCTATGTAAAACAACTCTCAATGGCCCTATTCCATGTGTCCCATCCTCCAGCTCAGACTTATGGGGGGTGAGGACATCCTATATATATATTTTTTTTTTCTCTAATATTCCCTGGACACCCTGAGTTCTGGACCCCATTACAAATTCCTATTTGGGCCCCACCCCTTGGCTGCACCCTGTTACATTTCTTGCACTTTGAAAATCCAAGTTCGTGACAATCATTCTGGAGCACTCTAATGATCTGAATGCCTTCTGAATCATTAGAGGACATATTTGAATTGAGGTAGCTCTACTATTAACTGTCCTGATCCAGTAATATATTTATATATTTATATATATATATATTATAAAGGCATGTTGAAAGGTATAAGAGAATTGCAGGCATAAATAGTTTTCAAATAGTTTTAAATATTTATTACTATGGCTATTATACTATTATATTTATTGTATATTTGAAGCTCTCATCTAAAAGTCATCCCTACAAATTTAGATGTGAGAGAACTGAAAGCATAATTTATGCCTGCCACTGGAAAAGGAAATTAACTCATGAATCAAAACCCTAAATGTACATCTACTGTGAAGGGTAAGCATTTCTTATCTTGGGTCAAAAGAAGCCTTGACTTACAAATGACAGTGTGATGTAACCTGAGCCCTTGTTGAGTAATATAGCCCTGGGCCATTCCCTCACACTTAAAATTCAAATACATTTCTTTTTCTCCCTGGGTACTTGAGCCTTTAATGGAAACCAAACCTCTTAATGAAAGACAATGTTGTAATAACTATGTATGGTGCCAGGTGGGTACAAGATTTATTGGGAGTATCACTTCATAAGTTATATAATGTCTAATTGCCATGCTGTATACCTAAAACTAATATAATATTGAATGTCATATATAATTGAAAAAGTAAAAAAAAAAATAAATAAGCAACAAAAAGATAATGATTAACCTTGATAATAGATAATGTAGTAAATTCTTCACCGTTTTTCCCTGCTTTGGTCTTTAGCTATGGTCTGTAGCACCCAGTTCACACCTAACATTTAGGTGGTGAGGCAAAGTTATATGGACTTATCTTAAACCTCACTCTGTGTATTTCCTATTCATGGAAATAGGGAATATAAAGTGGTGGGATTTGAGGGGCTCTAAGAAGCTCACTTCCTTCAAAATTCTTACCTGCATTGACTCCTGGAGTTCCTGCCATTATGACCTCCCCTATAAGGTCCTGCTAAAAATGAAAACGTGTTCCCTAGGGGAAGTGGCACCACAGACAGAGTAGTCTGTATCAATTAATTACATTAGGTACATATTCCTCTAACAGAGTACACAGAGAGTAGACTCGGGGCATGTACCTTTTGATAGAAAAGAGGTAGGGACTCTGTTCTCCCTGAGCTTCAGGGAGGGCAGCCCCTAGCAGTGTTTTATGTAGGAGGCAAAGGATAGGTCGACATGGGCAACCTGAGAGTGCGGAAGGCCTGGGGAGTGGGGTGGAGCACTCAAATCAGGTAAGGGAAGACAAAAAGGGAAATATAACCTGCTTAATTTGACCCAGAACCAATTCTGATTTTTTCCAACTGAGCCCATGGAGAGCAGTGCTTTGCAGATGCAAATGGGCCTATGACTTGGGGATCTTGTTAAGATGCAAACCCAAATGTAGCAAGTCTTGAGGTGGATCTGAGATGCTGCACTTCTAACAAGCTTCCAGGTGATGCCTGCATGGCTGTTGAGGACCACAGTGGGGGGAACAAGAAATTATAAACAGTCTGTCTGTTGGCTAGAGTAATCAACTGTCCCATTTTGCCCAGGACTGAAGGCTTTCCTTAGACCTGCAGGGTTTCAGTACTAAAACTGGAAAAATCTCAGGCTAACCAGGACAATTTAGTTTCTCTACATTTGCCTAAGATTGCAAAATGATATATCAGCACAGCAATGTATGAAAAGCTCCATTAACCAGTACATTTGAAGAACTAGTTATACTAGTTAACATATTAACTAGTTAATGGATTTTTACCTTCTAAAACATGTGTACCTCTCCCTCTCCTAAAAAGGTATTTTTACCCTACCCATTAAAAATGTTGAAATCTTGGATTAACTAATTAAAATGAGAACAGAAGAGTAATTCTTTTATGGGTCATGGTCTTGCAAGGCCTTAGGAGCTGTTATCCTAAACAGATCACCTTACAGAAGGGATAGGAGACAGAGCTGAGGCTGTTCTAAGCTGAGTCAGATCTTCAAAAGATGATTTTTAATACAATCCCTGGTATTAGTGCCTTGTGGTCTATCTACTTCTCAGAAAAGCAGAGTGTAGAAATGAACAAGAATTGTAATTCAGGACATGAGTTACTTGCATTTGTAGAAACAAAGGAAATATTCTTAAATGTCAGCTACCAGTGTAATGATTTGATCTTATAGGATAAATTACAGGAGTAGGAAATATTAATGTCAACTAAAAATGGCACAGGAAAATGTCAGACTTAATTTAGAAACAGGATTAATTAAAAAAGGCAAGGTGACTTCACCTCCAACCAAATCCAAGTTTTCCCTTTTCTTGGCAATTATAATCACCTGTCATAAGTTCCCCCTTTCCTTCTTATTTGCAGTGCTACCAGTTAGTCCTGGGACTTTCCCCTAATAACCTGATTTAAATAAGGAAACTCATCTAAGAGGGGGCAAATTTGAGACCCACAAAGGTCAGTTTACTAACTAATGTCCTTTGTGTTAGGTTCTGTGCTATGTAATTTATATTAACATGTCATTTAATTCTTACAACCCTACAAAGTAGGTATTATTATGTCCATCTTACAGTTGAGCAAACTAAGACTAAAAGTGGTCAAGTAACTGGCCCAGGATTAAAAGGCAAAACTGTTTTTAAAACCTGCTCTTGACGACCACTTGGCTATACTACATCTCTCTTTGGGACTCAGAATTCTGAAAAGAAAACTATGGAATGAAGTATGGGAGGATACACTCCCCACATTCATGCCAAAGAGTATAAATTCTTTAAATCTAAGAGTAAGTGAGGAAGAGGTGAGGGGAGCTTTCCCCTGTGTTCTCTGCAGACATTCTACTACGCTTTGCTTTGAATATACTTTAATATCTTATTAGGGCTCAACTGGACAAGTGAAAGAGTGCCTCAAGTATCTTGGAGCAATGCTAGGAAGGCCTCTCTGTTGTATTAAGACATATCAGAATGGCAAGGAGATTAGTAAATGATTTGTAATGATTGTACATTTTGGGCAGAAGTTTACCCAATGGAAAGACTAGAGAGTGCTAAACCAAATTTAGAGCAGTTGTTACATTAGATGTGGGAAGTAGGAGACAGGATAACTGAGACCATACAAGTATATGTAAATAAGTTACTGTCAGTATTCTGGTTCTCAAGCTGGGTGGTAGGTTTATAATGTTTAATATAATATTAACTAATAAATTGATGAGTGAAAGAGAGCCAGCGTGTGTACCTTAAACATCAGGAAGAAAGGAAAGAAACAAAGAAAAAAAAGGAAGGCAAAAAAAAAGAAGGCCCTGGTAACTGAAAAAGTTGGATTCAAATACTAGTTCTGCCACTTATTGGTTGTGATTAGACCTCAACTTCATTATTTATGAAATATAAATTGTATTAGATTATGAAATTACTAATTGTATCATATGAAATTACTGATATTTGATTTTCTTAATATACAACCTACCTCCTAGGGTTGTTGAAAGACAAAAAGAGAAAATGCCCAGATGTACCAAGAATTAAGAGCTCAATAGATGTTGTCTCTTATTTTTCTGTTCACTTCTTGTGAATTCAAGTACTATGTCAATATTTATTCATGTGAACCTATTTCTTGTTTCTCTAATAACTGCCCTCCTACCCCTGTGGAAAGGAATAAAGAATTGCTATAGCCAATTCAGAACAATGTTAGTCTTTGGAGTATACATGACTACTAATGGCTTGTGAAAAGTGGTAAATTACATCTAATTTTTGCACTCATATATACTTAGATATATAATGGTATATACTTATTCTTGTTCTTTCTTCAGCTGACTTCCCTGTCCCAAGTATAACTGAGCTTGGAAATCCATCTACTAACATCAAAAGAATAACTTGTTCATCGTCTGGAGGTTTTCCAAAACCTTACCTCTTCTGGTTGGAAAATGGAAAAGAATTAAATGCCATCAACACAACAGTTTCCCAAGATCCTGAAAGTGAGCTCTACACTGTTATCAGTGAACTGGATTTCAATGTGACAAACAACCACAGCTTCACGTGTCTCATCAAGTATGGAAACTTAACAGTGGCACAGATCTTCAACTGGCAAAAATGTAAGTCCTGGGGAGTTTCTACAGTGGAAAGTCTAAAAAGAAATACTTCAGCCAGATATACTTTAGAATTGTGCATTTAACTGTGCTTGCTGTAGTATTTTTAGACACACACCTTACAATTTGTAAGTATGACTATAATGTTACTAGATTAATTTTATTTTCTTTCATAAAAATTCTAAAATTTAGAGTCCAAATAAGTGTTATCCATCAAATAGTCATCTTAGGAAGTTATGGTAACAATATTGTTGTCATTGAAAGCGCTTGTCTTTGTCCTTCTTTGAAATTGCCCTCAGGGCTTTGGCAGTTTCTTGTAGGTCATCCCCTCTCCATGGTCCCATGGTGTCAAATCATTGTCTTTTGTGGGTGACAGTGCCTTTAAAGAACTACTGGTTCACTCAGAACCAGGTCTGGTGAAGGAAGTGAATGACAAACTACCTATGGACAATGCCTGAAAAAAGAGGTCTTTTTGAGCAAACACCATAACCAGATACTTTACCCTACATGTGGTAAACTCATAGAATCTTCTTTTCCAAGAAGTAAAGTCATCTGAAAATATAAAGTGCAAAAGGTTAGGTTTATATAAATTTATGCACATCAAACCCATAATGGGTTGTTACAGGAGAACTCAGATACTTGAAATACATGTCTAACTTATATGGAAAACAAATAGGCCTTTTCTCCACCTCTCATCCCCACTTCCAACAATATGTTTTGTGACTACACAGTATTAAACAATACACTGAGTTTGATATACAATAACATGTAAGTAGAGAGTATAATATATACTGTAGAGCATGTCCTATGTCTTTCTCTTGTCTTTACTTGGAGTAGAGGAGATATTTTAATTCTTAAGATTTTATTTATTTATTTTTAGAGTGAGAGGAAGGGAAGGGAGAAAGAGAGAGAATCATCAATGTGTGACAGATACACAGATCAGTTGCCTCTCACATGCCTCCGACTGAAGACCCAGACCATACCCCAGGCATGTCCCCTGACTGGGAATTGAACCGGCAACCCTTTGGTTCAGAGACAGGCACTCAATCCACTGAGCCACACCAGCCAGGGCTAAGAGGAGATATTTTAGATAGATCTTTCCTTTTTGAAGTTAATTCTTTAATTATTTTCCTCAATAGGTAATGATATGAAATTTCCTGGGGAAAATTAATTCAATTACAAACCAAATTTTGATGATTTTATTGATAGTCCAGCTGCATCTTTCTTTCAATCAACTTTATATATTCTCAAAAATGTATAAAATGAGCTGAATCATATAGTAAAAATAGTTGATTAATTCAGCATTAGTTTTCACTTATCATTATTTAACCAATTAGATAATGACTAAGGTGGGGATTAACAAACACATTAGTAATAATAGCTTCAATCATATTTTATTTTGAATATTATTTACATTTGGAATATAGGTATATGTAATGTTCTATGAGAGAGGCTGGCAAAATTTTTCAGAAAGGGGCTAGATAGTAAACACTTTAGCCTTGAAGGTCATATGGTCTCTTGCAACAATTTAATCCTGCTATTACAGCATAAAAGCAGACATAGACCAGACATAAATGAAGAACATTGCTGTGTTTCAACAAGAGAGGTGGCAAGCTTCATTTGTCCTGTGTGCTGTAGTTTGCTGACTTACAGGAAATAGAATGTAAACTTCCAAGTAAAAAGATGGTGCTATTATTTAAAAATTACATTATTAGACTGCCCATTTTTATCATCTTTTCCCTAATATTCCTTTTTCTCATTTCTTCCTCCATGCTGAGTATGAGCAGAATCCCTTTTCAGTCTAATTAAAAATAAAAGCTGGTTGCCCTATTAGTCTACATTCACAATGATTAATAAAGATATTAAATATATGTGTTTATTTATTCCTTTATTTAATCTTTAAGTAGTTATCACATAGCAAGCATCTTGCTAAATACTAGTGTTGCCTCTATGGTCAGAGAACTTGAGTGTATAAATACTTCAGATCTCATTGACTGGACTATAGGCACCATTTAGAGTCAAAGGAAATAATGCATCTGTGAGTATTCAAGGACTGAATGCATAAGCAAACATAAATTAGGTGTGCAGTTCATAGAAATGTTGCAAGTCAATATGAGTAAAGCTTTACTATATAAATACCCACTCAAAAAAACCCTCATATTTATTAATTAAATAAATTTGGTCTGTAATACTTTTAGTCTGGCCTTGGCAAATCTGTTAATCATTAATGTACTGGAAGACATATGTGTGTGGGTGGACAGGGATAAATCAGGAAGTCCCACTCATGATGTCTAATAATCTATATGTGCAGATGTCCCCACCTAACTTTGCAGTTAGATTCTAGGTCTGTTCTTGGCATATTAGCAGGTTCCTAATAGGCATTATGACAGAGACAATTTACTGTCACTGGTTCCTCCTTCTTTCCTTTAAACACACATCTTGTCTCTAGGCTGAGTGGGGCTGGAAGATGGATGGGAGTGGCCTCTCAGAGGAAGTCAGGAGTGAGTCAGAATCTGTGTAACTTCTAGATTCTCAAGATAACAGCAAGAGTTTGTTATTTTGAGTATCATTCTGGTCTGTAAAGGCCAGCACTGGTAATCATTTGATGTCTCCATGTAATCTGGTACTTTAGGGAAAAATAAAAAACCAACTTTCCCTAGTCTCTGAGTAGTAGGTGCAATTATGCATTTTAAAATAAATACTGCAGTGTGTAGGAATCCTTAGGCCTAGGAAACCAGAGGCAAAGACACCAGTATGGAGGCTACTAGGTAGGAGATGAGAAAAACCTAAACTAAGGCAATTGCTGCTAGAGATTTGGGGGAAAGGAATCAATTGCAGAGATGTTCTGAATATAGAACAGAAAGCCATGGGAGCATATTGGGCACAAACAGAGCCTTCACTCTTATTTGGGTCATTAATGGTAATGCCATTCACTGAAATGTGAGACTATAAGTGGTACATATGCTGTGGAAAAAATATAGTGAGCTCAATTTTAATCAAGTGGAGATGCTGGCATCCAACCATCTAGTTGACAGCTGGAAATACAAATCTGGAGCTCAGAAATGAGATCAGGAATATGATCTACAGATTTAGAAATCAGATGATGTTTCAAATCTTGGATGTGGATGAAATCGCCCAGCAGGACTACGGCCAGTGAAAAAAAGAATGAAACCACAAATGGAACCATGGGGAAAAAACAAATTTAAAGGACAAAAGGAAGAAGAAGAGCCTATAAAGAAAACTTGAGTCACAACAAACAGAAACAGAAGAATGTACTGTCATGGAAATCCAAGAAGGAAAAGGTTTCAACATTCAGAATTTATCCACAAGGCTTGGTAATCAGAAAAATTAGAAACAGTTGATGTTCGATGATAGCAAATGTTTGATATTTATTGTAATCTATTCCAGAGAAATCAGAAGAGAGTGAGCTACTAATATTCCTTTTTAAAAATCTTTACCCAAGGATTAATTTTAGAGAGAGAGAGAGAGAGAGAGAAACATTGATACAAAGAGATACATTGATCAGTTGCCTTCCATATGTGCCCCAACTGGGGATCAAACCCACAACCTTGGTATGTGCCCTGACTGCAGATTGAGCCCACAACCTTTTGGTGTATAGGACGATGTTCCAAACAACTTAGCCACCCAGCCAGGGCAATTCATATATTTTTTAAAATTTGTGTTCCTACCCTTTCTCCAGATGTTATTGCTAACTATTCCTCAAAGGGGTTGAAGGATAAATGGTGTAGCAGCTGCTGCTGAACAGGAGGGACAGAGCAGTGTCACACACATCTTTCTACTCCCCACCTACATTCTTCCTCACATCTTTGTGTTCTCTCTGTTCCTTGTGTCCTGCAGCTGATAGCCAGTTTGCAGAGTTCTCCTCCAGAGTCATCTCTTCTAATACCAAGCCACATAAAATCTTAGTTCTTTTCTGGGTTTCTTGTACCCTTCTAGAAGTTCTCTAGGCTGGATGGTGAAAATGTGTATCTGAAAATGAATGCAAAATGGCTCTTGTAGGTTTAGGCAGCTATGGTGAGGGGTGCATGTGTACATGCATGCTCACTTGTATGTGTTAAGAGAACATGCTAAGAGAAAGGGAGAAGGCATGACAGAGCTGCATAAGAAAAAATAAGGTGCATCTAGAGCACAACATCAACTAATTATTAATAATAATGCATAGTAATATATTACAGCTATAAAAATGACATATAAAGGAAAGGTGGTTTTTAAGGTATTTCTTTAGAGTCCTTTTTTTGCCATCTTAACTCATCAAAAGCTCAAAATTTATTTTTTACATTCAACATCTGGCATCTGGATATTAGTTGCCCAAAGTATATATCTGATTGACAAGTCATGCAAGAAAATGCTATCAACTGCATATTAGAGAGCAGACCAGGGAAAGAAGTAAAAAATACTCTTTACAGTTCTGTCAGAATATGAGGTCATACAATGGGTAGCAGGCAGTTGAAAATACATTAGAGCTAACACTATTTATTTCCCTCCACAGATGAGCCAACTGTCCCTCCTTTTATTCATCAGTCCTCGACTTGGACCACCAAAATAGTATCTGGGTTTGTTCCCGGTGCTATTGTTCTTTGCGTTCTCTTTGTGGTAATCCTAAAATGCCGACCTGACAGTAGTAAGTGCTATCATACTATCATCCTGGAAGCCCAAACTCTATTAGTATGGTTTAGCATCTCTCTGAGATTTTAGGCTGTTCCCATTTTCAGAAAGTCTATGGAAACTTTAGTGTCTCTTTGACTTGGCTCAGCAAGTTCTGTTCATTCACTAGACAGACATTTCTTAGACACCTATTATGTGCCTGGCACTCTGGAATTACAAAGATAAGAAATCACTGCCCTCAAGACACTAAATTTTAATTTAGTCCTTTCATTCACCCCCAACTTTGTAATATTTTTTGGAGTCACCAAGGCTTGCTTAATCATGTGAAAATGTTTCTGATGCAATGTGATATTCTAATCTTCAATTTGGAATTTGAGAAAAGTCATAAATGACAGGAATGGGGGTAAGAATGCTTTTCTTGGAGGAGGGTTAGATGCACTAATGAAGCTGAGAAACTACGTGGCCACAAGTGATTTGAACAATTCTCAATTCTTCAGAATACATTTTTGGATGAAAGATCAGGAATGGTTGAAGAAAGAAATATCCAGAATATTTTACCCTATGAGTTTAAAAGTTTGGCCTTACATATATGCTACTATCAATCTCTATGAAATGAAGATAAACTGCCAGTCCAGAGCTAAGGCCATAGTCACCCTGGAGTACCTACTTTTCTTGGAGTAGAAATCATGTACACTGAGTAAAGAAAATGGGAAAACCAACCTCTAGTGATTTTGCCAACCTTTAGCACAAAAAAAGGTCAAAGGTCAAGGAAGTCACTAGAGACTCTTTGCTATGAACAATTCAACCCATGGGGAGGATGAAAAACATCTGGTGGCTTAAAGATGTTTCTGATACAGACTGACCAGCTTTATACCTCTGGTATAAAGAATGTTCAGATTTTCCATTCTTAGTACTATGGACATTTGGGGCTGAATAATTATTTGCTTTAAGGTGCTATTCTGTGCATTATAGCATATTTAGAAGCATCCCTAGCTCTACTCACTTTATACCAATAGCACTCCTTGTCCCAGTAGTGACAACCCAAAATGTTTCCTGTTGGGAAGGGGAGTGGGGTGGAAATCACCACCCCCACCCCGGTTTAAGAACTGCTGCTGTCATTCTAAGCCAATCGGAAGGCTTGCTGAAATATATGGACATGATTTAAAGGAAACTCACCTATGTAGTAAATTTTTATTTTTTGTGTTTATCTGCAAGGATGTGCTGCAAGGACGTACTGCAAGAGGAGGAATGAGGAGAGCATGGAAATGGAAAGGATCTCTCCTATCTACTCAAGACCTGTAAAAGCATCAGAATGAACAGAACATCTGGAGGTAGCTCCCTTTAGCCCTTCTCTACCAATGTGGGGCAAAAAAGATCAGGGCATCAGGAGGAACAAGGTTTTATTCTTCTCATTACCAAATTTAAAAGCCTCTACCTCTTATCTAACTGGTATGGACTCCAGCCAGTGGTCCCTGTGTTGTGGCCGTGACGAAATCACTATCTGCAAAACACTACTTTATTAAATTTATTTTGAAGTAATATTTCTGGTCTAACTCCTTATTCTGACTATCTCTTTTTCTTTGTAACCCCCAGTACTGATGGACAAATTCATGTCTCTTATGAGTCACTGTGTACTAACTCATTAACATCTTCACTATTCTCTACCAAGCCAGTGACGAAGCCAAATTTCATGACGAATTATTTCTCCATGTGATTTTCCACCCCCAAACTCAAAAGAGCCCTCAGTGCCTATAGAAAAGCCTTCAAAACTTTTAACTTTCCACAGTCCAGTTGATCTCTTCAATCTAAACATCCTCAGTTCTTTCCATTGTTCTTTGAATGGTAGTTTCCAGAAGCTTCAGGTAAAAACACCAGATGTCAGTAAGTGGAGTTCAAGACTTCAGTTTTGGTCTGGCTAATTCTACATACAATGGAATAATTACCATCTGGGGTCTGGAATGGTTGTTCTCTTAAGGGAGTCTTTTGTGAGTCACAATGTTAACATATCAATTTTGTGTTATCCTAAAACCCCAAGGTCTTTCATATAAAAGAAACATTGGAACATTGGAATTTCAAAGACTGATGCTGTTACTGTAGACAGTCACTGGGAATACTGGGGAGTCTTCCCTATTGGCCAATAAGGCAGCAGGGGGTGGTTCTTACACTAAATGGTCTTACCTATCCCTGGGTCCAGAGATTCTTCATCTAGTAAAGGAAGGAGGTCAGGAGTGGAGGAAAGCCTTTATGCAAGGGAGAATTGCTGTTTTGGAAGGTGGCTTACTCAGTGTCTAGAGGATGGCACTGTTGAACAAGTCACGCTGGTAGACTGCTTCATGTTTCAAGAAATGGTATTTCAAATGGGCTTCCAAGGTGAGAACTATTGGAAGACAAACAATCATCTATTTAGTTAGTGGTATGGCTAGTAGCATACGGGAAATTATAGTGACTTCAGAAACTAGAGACACCAAAGGATCCCCATGGTCTAATCCTGAGGGGGTCTTTGGGTGGTACACCCAACAGCAGGATAAATTTGCCAAGGAAACCATTGTCTGGGAAATGTGGAATACAACAAAAAGTAATATTGTCATTTAGATTTGGGAGGTGCTTTACCTTTCCAAAAGAAGAATTTTAAATCTTCTTCAGGAGTGCAAGTCCAGCTTTCTCTTTCAATATCAACAGCAGCAACAAGACCCAAGTCTTCCTCAGGTAGCGCCTGCTTTATCCATGTGTGGTAGATCTGAGGCTTGGTTCCTGTGAGCTTTAGGGAAGAGTTTGTTGTCAGCAGTATGTCATAGGGGTTGGTCCATTGCTTAGCTAACTGCTGTTGAGGACCTTGAGTCCTCCAGGTCTTGAGAAAGATTCAGTCTCCTGTGGAATGGGCATAAGGACTCATCAGATGAGTAGATAGCTGCAATGAGCAAACTTGTGCAAAGTTGTTAGTGCTTGTCGTAATGTTGTACAACTTTTTTATTTTTGATTCACATTCTAAATCGAAAGAGGGTATTCCTAAAACAGAATTGTGTAAGGGTCTCCAATAAACTATTTCAAAATGGCTTAATTTAAGCCTACTTCAGGGTGCTACTCTAATCCAAAGCAAGTCAATAGGGAGTGCTGATCCATTTTAAAAGTGTTTCCTGGCATATTTTCACCAGAGTATTCTTTATTGTGTGATTCATTTTCTTAGTCTTCCCTGTAGATTGGGGTCTCCAAGATGCCTGTAGTTTCCATTGAATCTGTAGTGCCTGTCCTATCTTCTGGGAGATTTCAGAAGTGAGTGACAGTCCATTGTCATTTTGAATGATGTAAGGAAGTCCAAACCTAGGGATTATTTCTTTGAGTAGAAGTTTTGCTACTTCAGTTGCCTTCTCAGTTCTAGGGGGTATGCCTCTACCATCCAGAAAAAGTGTCTACAAAGACTAATAACAATTTAAAGTTTTCTATGGTTTCAGGCATCTGTGTAAAGTCAATTTGCCAGGCTTCAAATGGGCATACCCCTTTATATTGTACCCCCTTTCTTGTTGGGAAATGTTCTGTCTTAAGATTGTTTTGGCACATATCTCACAAGCTTGGGTGATCCTCTGGATGGTCCTTGTGGTCTAATAAAGTTCATTAAAACATTCCATCCATAATTTCTCCCTTCATGTGGGTGTTTGAGGAGGAGATATACCGTAAGTGTTGATCTTCCATATAGAATTAGGGTCCATGTTACAGAATCCCCATTCATGGGCCCATTCTTCTTGTTCTGTGTAGTGAGGTTTAAATTATGACAAGTCCTGGTGGGGAATTAAAGCCCCAAGAAGTGGTGGCTCTCAGGCACCTTATCCTGCTGCTTTATCAGCAGTTTGGTTTCAGTGACTTGTTTGGGAACTCTTCTTCTGGTGTCCTGGGCAGTGCATTATGGCAATCTGGTTCGGTTAATTCACTGCCTCTAGTAATTTAAAAATCTCTTCTGCAGCCCTGGCTAGTGTGGCTCAGTGGATTGTGTGCCAGCCTGTGAACCAAAGGGTCGCCGGTTTGATTCCAAGTCAGGGCACATGCCTGGGTTGTGGGCCAGGTCCCCAGTGGGGGGACCCAAGGGACAACCGCACACTGATGTTTCTCTCCCTCTATTTCTCCCTCTCTCTCTCCCTCCCTTTCCCTTTCTCTAAAAATAAATAAATAGATTTCCGGCCAAGATGGAGGTATAAGTAGATACACTGTGCCTCCTTGCGCAACCAAAATAAGGACAACAACAATTTAGAAATGAAAAACAACCAGTACCAACAGAAAATTGAACTGTACGGAAGTCCGACAACCAAGGAGTTAAAGTAGACACATTCATCCAGACCGGTAGGAGGGGCAGAGTCCAACAGCCGGGTGGAGAGTGGTCGCAGCAAGCAGTGGCTGGCGGACCCAGCGAGGCGGCAGATTGTGGAGGCGCATGACGCAGAAGGTGACTGGTAGACCAGGCGGTCCCACATTTTGCGTGCAGATAAACCAGGCGAAACTGGGGAGTGAGACAGACTGCACAACCCAGGGGCCCAGCTCAAGGAAATGAAGCCTCAAAACACAAACTGAAAACACATGTGGGGGTTGAGGTGCTGGGAGAGACTCCCAGCCTCACAGGAGAGTTTGTTAGAGAGACCCACAGGGTCCTAGAATGGAAACAAACCCACCCACATGGGAATCAGCACCAGAAGGGCACAAATTGCTTGGGGGAAGTGGAAGAAGTGACTGAAATCTGGCAGAGAGCGGATCAAACGCCATTGTTCCCTCTCGGACCACTGCCCCACAAACAGCGTCACAACACAGCAACTGGGTTGCCCCACCCGGGTGAACACGTAAGGCTCCACCCCTCACTAGGTAACAGGCACATCAAGACAAAAAAAAAAGGCCCAAATGATAAAACAGAGCAAATCTCCAGAAAAAAATACAACTAAACGACAAAGAGATAGCCAACTTAGCAGATGCACAGTTCCAAACACTGGTAATCAGGATGCTCACAGAATTGGTTGAATTTGGTTGCAAATTAGATGAAAAAATGAAGGCTACGCTAAGTGAAATATAGTTGTCCCTCGCTATATCATGGTTCACTTATTGTGGCTTCACTGTATCGTGGGTTTTAAGTAACGACTATATATTTCACTTGTGAGTACCCATATAGAATTTTATGTTGTTAAAATTACAGAGGTTTGGACTTCTGGCAAGATGGAGGAATAGGTGGATGCACCGTACCTCCTTGCACAACCAAGATTAGCACAACAATAATTTACAGATAGAATAACACCCAGAACTGATAGAGGATTTATCTGAATGGAAGTCGGACAGCCAAGAAGTTGAAGTAGACCCGTACATCCAGACTGGTAGGAGAGGATGAGCCAGGAGGGCACGGGTCAGCAGCGCGCAGAGGTCGGGGAAAACTTGGTGCGAAATCCCGCGAAAGCCATCTGGCACGCAAGAACGCAGCGGTGGTCCCTGAATACGCAAGCTGTGGCTGGCGGACCCAGTGAGGTGGCGATTGTGGACCAGGGCAGAGCTCGTAGCCCAGGATCCCAGAGAAGGGACTGAGATCCCAGGAGAATGGAACTACCGCCATTGTCCCCTCCCCTTCCCGCTCTCGCCCCCACCCTCGCCCCCGTCCCCACATATAACGTCACAATCTAGCGACTGGGGTGCCCAGCCTCGGTGAACACCTAAGGCTTTGCCCTCCACCGTAACAAGAGCGACCAGACTGGCAAAAAAAAAAGAAAATAAAGGAGAGACAGAGAAAGACATGTTTCCAACAGAACAGATCAGTCCCCCAGGACTCATCCTTTTGAGCGACCAAGAAATACCCAATCTATCAGATGCACAGTTCAAAACACTGGTGATCAGAAAACTCACAGAATTGGTTGATTTTGGGCGCAAATTAGATGAAAAGATGCAGGTTACCATAAAAGAGATGCAGGAAGATACACGGAGGAGAGCCATTAGTGAAGGGAAGGAAGCTGAGTCTCAAAACAATACAGTGGACCAGAAAGAAGATAGAATCAACCAAGCAGGAAAGCATGATGAAATAAGAATTCAAAAAAACGAGGAGAAGCTTGAGCATCCAGGACATCTTTAAATGTTTCAACATCCGAATTATAGGGGTACCAGAAGGGGAAGGGGAAAAGCAACAAATTGAGCATATATTTGAACAAATAATAAAGGAGAACTTCCCCAATATGGCAAAGGAAATAGTCTTCCAAGAAATCCAGGGAGCTCAGAGAGCCCCAAAGAAGTTGGATCCAAGAAGAAACACACCAAGGCACATCATAATTACATTAGCCAAGGTAAAAACGAAAGGAGAGAATCCTAGAAGCAGTAAGAGATAAGGGGACAGTCACCTACAAAGGAGTTCCCATCAGACTGTCAGCTGATTTCTCAAAAGAGACCTTACAGGCAAGAAGGGGCTGGAAAGAAATATTCCAAGTCATGAAAGACAAGGACCTACATCCCAGATTGCTCTATCCAGCAAAGCTCTAATTTAGAATGGAAGGGCAGATAAAGTGCTTCTCAGATAAGGTCAAGTTAAAGGAGTTCATCATCACCAAGCCCTTATTTTATGAAATGGTAAAGGGACTTATCTAAGAAAAGAAGATAAAGAAAAAACATGTATAGTAAAAGGACAGCAAACTCACAATTATTAACAACCACACCTAAAGCAAAACCAAAAGAAACTAAGTAAACAACTAGAACAGGAACAGAACCACAGAAAGGGAGGTCACATGGAGGGTTAGCAGCAGGGGGGTGGGAAGAGAAGAGAGGGGGGAAAGGTATAGAGAATAAGTAGCATAGAATGTAGGTTGAAAATAGATAGGGGGAGGGCAAGAATAGTACGGTAAATGTAGAAGCTAAAGAACTCACAAGTATGACACATGGACATGAACTAAAGGGGGGGAATGTGGGTGGGAGAGGGGGTACAGGGTGGAGGAGAGAGAAGGGGGAAATGGGACAACTGTAATAGCATAATCAATAAAATATATTTTTTAAAAATTACAGAGGTTTAAGAGTATAGAATGTGTTTAAGAGCATATGACATGTTTATTAGAGTGTGGGAAGGGTTTATAAAGCCTTAAAATATATATAAATAATAAAATAAATGTAATAATGCTACTTTGTGAATTTTCACTTATTGAGAGGGTCTCTGGAACATAACTCCTGAGATAGGTAAGAAGGGCTTGCTGTAGTTTTCTTGGAGGAATGTTCAAGATTAACACCAAATTTGATGCAGTTTCATCACTCTACTCAATCAGTCATTTCAAATGTGATGGCCACACAGTGCACATGCTCACTCAATAGTTTCTGGGGCTCCCACTGACTAGTACAGTAATGTTGTTATTGTTCACACAGGCACATTCCAGTCCATTGTACTTGACTGACAGCTTACATGGATATTGCACAAATTGTTCTTGTTATATTAACAATGGCTGGACTTTTTTCCAGGTAGACCTCATACACCTGTATGAGGCTAATGGAAATATTATTGGTGTTTTAGCCAGTATTACATTTTTCATGGTGCTTTCATTCATTGTTCACCCACTTTTCCATCAGGTTCAGAAGAAAGTAGGCCCATCCAAAACTAATTTACTCTGACATGGAGAAGGAACAACATAGAAATTAAACTGTCCCTCTCTAACCTAACTTTTGCTTTTAAATTTTCAAAGGGATAGTTTAGTTAAAAAATTCACATTCTACTGGTTCATATTGGACTGACAATCTCCTTAAATGGTTTTATGTCAGTTTAACCTCTTTTGTAAAATGTTTATGAGAAAGTTCTAATTTAAAATAAGATACATTTAAAAAGTGTCAGTGTGAGGGGCCGTGCGCAGACCCACATGTGGTGCAGGCAAGCACACTCCTGGAAACAAACAGCTGCTGCCGTGGGAGCCACTCACTTCACCTGCATCTTAGCCTCTGCCACTGTTCGCCAGCTCAGATGCTGAAGACATGTGTTATCGCTGTGGTGAGTCTGGTCATCTTGCCAAGGATTGTGATCCTCAGGAGGATGCCTGCCATAACTGTGGTCAAGGTGGTCACATTGCCAAGGACTGCATGGAACCTAAGAGAAAGCAAGAGCAATGCTGCTACACCTGTGGCAAACCAGGCTATCTGACTCGTGACTGTGACCATGCAGATGAGCAGAAGTGCTATTCTTCTGGGAAATTTGGACATATTCAAAAAGACTGCACCATAGTCAAGTGCTATAGGTGTGGTGAAACTGGTCATGTAGCCATCAACTGCAGCAAGACAAGTGAAGTCAACTGCTACCGCTGTGGTGAATCAGGGCACCTTGTACAAGAATGCAAAATTGAGGCCACAGCTTATTTTCCTTGTCGCCCCTCCTTTTTCTGATTGATTGTTGTATTATTTTTCCTGGATCCTCTTTACTGGCTGAAGGTTGGCAGATAGAGGCTACTCTTAGGCCAGTGAGCTTTACTTGCCATGTAAAGGAGGAAAGGGGTGGAAAGAAATTGACTTTCTGCATTTAACTACAGAAAGAAAGTTTATGTTTAGTTTGGTAGAGGTGTTATATATAATGCTTTGTTAAAGAATCCCCTTTTATTGCTACTGGTGAATAGGGATTGATGAATGGGAAGAGTTGAATCAGACCAGTAAGCCCTTTCTGGGTTTCTTGAATATGTTCCCATGTAGAAGGTAAAAACCAATTCTGGAAGTGTCTGTGAGCTTCCATAAATAACTTCAGTTTTAACATAATGATGTCCTTGGATTGTCTGACCTCAATATCTGTTAAATAACATCAATTAATATCTGTATCAGGCCCTACATAGATCATATAGGTGAATGGGAGTAAACAAAATAAAAAGATAAATGTGTGTTTAACATCTGCGAGGAAAATTGGAATAAAAGCCTAAACAGGAATAATTTGGTGTTGCTACTTCATATGCAAATGACAAAGGTTTAGAACACATTCTCTGTCAAAGATGAAATGTAAAACCCATCTATGGGTTTTATGAGTAAATATCTATGTTCCAAGTAAGTGTAATTTGGAGCTATTCAGGAATTGCAGAGAAATGCATTTTCACAGAAATCAAGATGTTATTTTTGTATGCTATATCCCTTAGACAATTGTGTTTCATTTGACGTAATCAGTTTTAAAAGTCATGGAAAAAGTAACTGAAGTCCTAGATAATAGAAATGTAATTTTAAATTATCCAATAAAACTGGAAGAAGAGGAGTTTG